TATTAACAAATAAATGAATAAAGGGATAGAAACAGCTATGAAAATATTTCAGCGCAAAGGCAATTTTAAGATTTCTAAAAAAATACATTACAAAGAATTTGTTAACTAAACATACAGAGAATCTGTCTCCCTACAGGTATTACATTTATACCCATATTAGGTTCTTAAAAACGGCTGTAAAAATGCACACACCACTGCTGCAGGGTCTAGCGCGGACGGGAGGGCCGGGGCGCCACCACACACGGGGGGCGGGGTGCGCGGGACGGAGGGCGGAGACCCCGGTGCGCTCCCCGTCCTTTCTCCGGGTCTTTGGTTTGCTGTTGCTACTTCACCTGAACTTACCCCAACTACTCTCTGTATGCAGTCAATTCATCCCCTAGTTCAAATAAATATTTTATAGGCAAAACATTATACAAATTGTGAAATCTGGGCTTCCCAAAATGCCTGGCATGGAGCGTCTCTGAAGCAGACTCCTGTTCACTCACCAGCGTCGCCGGGGCCACAGGCTGGAACCCGGCAGCGGGCAAGGGGCCTGCTTGTCATTTAGCTTCGGGGCGATGCTTTTCTCAAAAGGCATCCGTTTCCACATCCACACTTTGAATCTGACTGAAATGTCTTCTTTGTGGACCATTAAGGCTACGTCAAGGAGGTTATTCTAGAAACAAACAGCAGTACAGAGAAGGGACCAGGACCGTCAACGCAGCAGCCTCCTCAAGGTCTGCCCACCCCAAATGACGCCCTGGACAGCGGATTGCAACACAGCACTCATCCAACAGAACACGCAGGCCTTGGTCCGGGTCTCGGCCGTGGGCAGCGGGCCAGGGCGGCAATCATGCTTCTCAGGATTCAGATACCGCCTCCACTGTCAGACCTGTGTGGGCCTGAAATAGATTTTGGAAGATGGACGCGGCCCCTGGAGGCCACCTCTCGATGAGGACATCGAAGGGGTCTGCCCCCGGCCTCCGACCACCAGCCTTCCCCTAGAACTGGGGAAAGCTCTCTGGACAAGAGAATGCGGGGAGGCTCTATCCATGGGGGTGTGAGAAAAACTAGCTCCTATCTTGTATTGGGAAGGCTGGAGTGGACAGTGTTCTCTATTCGTCACACACGGTATTTTCTTTTTCTCCACAGGGGCAATCGGGGATGGGAAACACGCAGAGATTCACACAGGGGATGCTAGTCCTCCCTCAGAGGGACGAACCCCTCATCGGACATGACCCTGAAAAGCAGCTTTGCTAGGGAGCGGGTTCGGATTGAAGCAGGACACAGTCCAGGACTCCCACAGGCTGTAGGAGCATGGTGACGCCAGGGTCTGGTCCGGCCAGTTACAGAAGCACGAGGGCTGGAGGGCTCTGGACAAGGAGGCACGGAGGCAAGGCCGGCCCGTCCCACGGTGAGGACAAGGCCCCTGTGCTCGGACGGTCGGTGGTGCGGCCACCCCCGCTCAAGCTGATGGCCCACCTCCACGCAGGTGTCCTCCTCCGGCAGCTTCTGGGGCTGGAGGCCCTGGCCCAGGACGCAGTGGGCCGTGCGTGCCCAGCCAAATGCCCAAGAGAAGCTGTGGGGGCCACCAGCCCCACGAGAGGTGACGACTGCCAGCCACGCGTTCCAAACAAGTCCCATGGTTCTCATGCCTCCTTCGGGGGCGGGGAGAAGCACACACGTGCGGCTCTCAAAGGCTTGGACTGGTGGCCTGTCCACCAGTGGTCCCCCCGTTGGGCGCAGGGCCGGGATGGCGGTGGTTGTGCAGGAGACCGGCGAGGGGAGGCCACATCAGCGTCCCCTGCTTTGTGTGCGGGCCTGGCCACACGGCCCAGGGGCTGGGGCTCTGCGGATAGGCCAGGAGAGTGAGTTCGGGGAGGCAGTCCTGGCCGCACACACATGTGCTCTGTTGGAGAACACAGAGGACAGCGTCAGTCCCGGGACCCTCCACAAAGACCCCGCCCAGCCTGCTCTGATGCTGCCCGCGGGGCCTCCCGTTCCAGACACGGGTCGGGAGCGTGTCCCATGTGACCGAGGACACAGAGCCAGCATGGTGACCGCATTCTGGCCACCAGCGGTTGCCCCGCTTGGCTCCATCACGTGCGAAGCCTCTACCAGAGGCCCTGGGGACCGGGGCTGGAGTCCACGGTCCCCTCCACGCACGTGGGCAACCTCAGTCTGTGCAGGTTCTTACAGCCCAAGGAGGCCGGCAACCTCACCTAGCCGTTGTTAAATTTACTGGGCAGCAGGGCCTGAGGGAAGCAGTCCGGGAGAAATAGGTCTTAAAGGAATAACTGTCCCCGGGCAGAGAAGGCAGTGTGTCTGTCACACCCGAGACACCCAGCTCAGGGCGCGTCGTGAGCGCGGCTGCATTTCTGGGCCTCTCTGGGGCAGACACGGCTCCCCGTGTTGGCTGACGGACAACAGGACACCTGTGCTGGACGTCTGCCTGGGCCAACGTTCCACGCAAATCATGCAATATTCCATTGTCTTGTCAAAATACAGTCTTTCCTGAGAGACCTTCTGGGTGAAGCTCTTTCCACAACCAAGGCCGTGGAATGAGCTTTGTTCTGGCAAACTAAGCACTGAACACCCTGGGTGAGTGGATCCAGTAAACGCGCGTGGAAGGCCACGGCACACGTGTGCACGCACACGCGAGCAGTGCACGGCCATCTGCGGCCCAGACACGCTCAGGCAGGTCACTTACCTGGGACAGAAACACATGTGTGTGTAAAAAGTGTTTTTTTTTTTTTTTTCCATCATGAACCTTTGTTATCAAAATGGCACAGCAAAACTTTGGAGGAAAAGCGGACTGTTTGGAAGGATCACAGCACACCCAGGAGGCCTGCCAGGCGGCGTGGCGGACACGGTTACCTATCCTTGGCTAATGGCGCCTCGGCCGTGGCAAGAGGTCCTTCAGAAGTGGCCCGTCCGTGCCTGGTGCAGCGGCGACCGATGCTTTGAGTTTCGTGCTCTGCTGCAAGGCGAGGAGAAATACTGAGAGGGGCTGCGCCTGGTTCCAGAAGCGCCTCCCGTCCGTGAGCACGACCCAGCCTCGCAGCCAGACCTGGGGCCTGTGCAAGCTGGGGGCAGCAGGAGGGTGCCGCCAGGGAAGGAGCGGGTCTTCCTAACAGCCCTTCACCTGACAGAGACCAAGGGCCAGCGCAGGGCACAGAGGGCAGGCTGGAACAGCAGGCCGGGGACCCACGGAGGAGCCTCCGCTGGAAGGACCAGACCGGCTGCTCCCGCCCGGCGGCCGCCTCGGTGCTCACCCCAAACAGGAGGGACTGCACCTGCCTGTCCCTCTGTCCCTGTCCTTCGCCCCGACCCCAAGGCTAGACCCCTGCAGGGCCCGGGGGTCACAGTGCTGCAAGTCAACGCGGGCTTTCTCGTCAGACCATAGTAGTGCCTCAGGCACCAGCAAGAAGGGAACTTTAAGAGGTGGAGGAGTACAAGGTGTGAGATGCAGAACGTCTTCTGGTGAGGAGAAGGGTGAACTGATCAGGGGAGGGGGGCGCAGCCCTTTGCAGGGATGGAACTGTATCCGGTAACACAGCGAAACACGTGTACAAATATGTATACACGGGTCACACATGCACACACGCAGGACCTGGTGCCTGTGATGTGTTTCTTTTTAACAGAACAGATGGAAGGAAACAACGGCCCATCTGACATGAGGACTGGTCCAGGGTCTGTTCCTCCAAAGTTTGGCAGGTGTCCAGGGGGGTTCCCAGAAGCACACACACACCTGTGTGCGTGCCAGGGGCCCCAGGAAGGTGCAGGTGTGGGCACACGGCCGCCTCATGTGGCCGTGGACCCTGCTGGGCGCCCGGCGCCGACCATCTCCGAGCAGCCAAACGTGGGCTTCCGAGAGAGAGTCTGAGCACACCTCACGCATCAAGAGTGAAAGTATGTATTTTTATCCCAAAGTTGGCAAGATTTAATCAATTTCCTAAGCACAGCCCGTAACTTAAATGTTCCTAATAATTTCATCCTAAATGTTTTCAAGTATGTACCCAGTGAGATAAAATTAAGTCACTCATTCTAGCGAATTCTGATGGCACCAGAGTAGAAAAATTTTGACTGCTGATAATTACCAGAAGTTAAAAAATGTACCATCCTGTTAGTTAAAAAACAGTGTTTAAAATGTACAGAGGATGAACGGTCGTTAAAAGAAAACAGAGCCTTTTCTTGCTTAGGTATTTTCCTATGAACTCAGCTGCACTAGGAACAGTTTCCAAGCATCACTGACGTTGAGGCCTCTGTAAGTGTGTCCTTTAGACACACGGACAGTAGCCATCCCTGGACAACTGTGCCCCTGAAATCATGGCTCTTCAGGAACAGGCTGTGGCCCTGGGCAGCTACCCTGTGTGTGGCTCAATGCTGCTGAGAAACAAGCCAGCACAGCCGCTCACAGCCATGTAAGGCTTTCTCTAAAAACAGAATCTTTTTCAAAGTGGAAAGGAAATTTGGAGAAACACTTGACCCAAACGCATCTCTCCCGGCTTTTTCCACAGCCTGGGTGGCTCAGCCCGAGCCTTGTCTTTTCTGTAGTGCCTTGTGGGGCCTGCACAACACTCTGTCGTGGGGGCCTCAGTTTCTCTGTCTGTGCAATGGGTCCGCAGAGCTGCGTGAGTGAGGAGGTCTTGCTGTCCATCCGCCATTGGCTGCGGAGAGAGGGCTGGTGCTGCGTGGACTCTGCCCACGTGAGCTCGAGCGACGTAGGAGCCGCCACACCCACACCTCTGTGTGCAGGGGCCATGGGTACCTGCCAGCCAGTGCAATGCAGTGCAGCCCTGCACCTGGGCAGGTGGGACCTGCAACCTCCCACGGACACACAGAGAAGCACGGGCCCCGTGCACTTCTGCGTCTCAGATACAGGTCACACCAGTAGCTCCCGACGTGCTCGTCCTGAGCAGACAGGAGCCCGGGACGGGTGCCGGACGGCTCAGCGAGGGGTCAGCTCTCTGCTTCCTGCGACTGTAACCCCACCATGCCAAACGACAGAAAAGCATCACCTTGTTCCGTTAGAAACTCAGACTGCTGGAGGTCTGAGAGAGCATAAAGATGGTGGACTGCTCGACAGAAAGGCACTGGCTCTTAGTCTGCAGTCCAGAGGGGTCGAGGGGCCACGCACATCGTGAGACAGGTGGGAGCAGTTATTTAGGCAAAGAAGTTGGAGACAAAGGGAAGGAGGAAGGGAAAAGAGAAACAAGTTAAGGCGGTTGGGGCCGGTTAATCGCAGGAACCTCCCTTGCGCATCCCCGCCATCGCGCTAAGCAAACCGTGCCCTCCCTGGATGCTCCCCTCCTGGGGACCGCGTGGGCCTCTCGTCCCTGCCATCTGTCTCCTCCGCCCCGAAAGCTCCTGTCATGCTCGCTTGTTAGAGAGCTCAGAGCAGAGGTGTTGACGCATGCTCACGAGCTGTCGGTGCCGACTACGAACACACAGGCACCAAGGAGGGGAAGGCTAGCAACCAGGGGAGCTGGGCCCAGCATGCTAAAGCAGCGCAGACTTCGGAGAGAGCCCACCCACCGGGGTCCCATCCAAACGCTGGGACAGGTGGAGGTGGGCACATGTGGTGCCCAGACCTTGCTCCCTGCAAAGCCAGCAGCGGCCTGGCTGTTTCCCACCCCAGAGGCCGGCCAGCAGCACCTGGGGGCTGAGCACCTGGGCGATCTGAGCTTTCCAGAAGGCCTTCCCTGGGGTCCTAAGGCGCACGGATAGTCCTCCACCTGCAGGCCCACCTGTGCTCTGCCTTCTGCACACTCGGCAGGATCCTCCCTTCTCCTTACGGAGGCTCTGCACCTCCATGGGCAGAACACAGGGTGGGGGGACAGGGGACGTGCCCTCCCTGAGACTGCAGGGGTGAGGGGGTGGTGGGCATGTTCTCCCTGAGATCTCAGAGGGGAGGGGGGTGTCCTCCCTGAGATTGCAGGGGTGAGGGGATGAAGGGGGACGAGCCCTCGCTGAGAACTCTGAGCAGCTTTGACTGACACCTGCTGCTACGGTTACGCTGGGCTGGGCGTTCTACACATCTCACTTCTCTCCTGAATCCAGAATTCAGCCTGTTGGCCTTAATTGGGGATTGTGGAAACCAAGTGACCCTAGTACTCACCAGAATTGCCCAGTATAAACACTACCGTTCGGGGCCACATTCACCATCCCTAAAAGTAATGCAATTTTACCTTCGAAGTAATGATTAATTTTGAAAACTTTTTTGGATTTACACAAAATAATCTTCCTTCTGTATTGGCTCAGTCCGTCTCCCTCGATCCTTCTCTGACTTCAGCGGACTAGCGTCTCGGGCCTGAGCGTGGTCATCCTGCATTTCCCCTGCGTTAACGTTCTAATGCTCGTTAGTAACACCCGGACTGAGCGCACTTGCAACACAAGCCTCTCCTGCTTTCCTTACAGCGATCACAGCGGCTGTTCCGGCTGGGCCCCCGCGCCCCCCCCCCCGCAGCACCCCCAACCCCGCCGCACCCCTACCTGGACTCTCTCTGTGGCACTGGGCCACAGCTGCCTGGACAGGACTTTCTTGAGAACGTCAGGAAGGAGGCTGACAGTGATGAGCAGGATGATGAGCAGCCAGGCAGGGCCGCTGGACAACATCTGGATGAACACATAGTACATCCTTTGGTAATTCAGGAACGGCCTGGAAAAACAACAGATGGGCAGGTCGGAGGTCAACCGGAGGACACCGCGCTCTCTGCTCTCAGGAAAAGCCCGCCTGTTCCCCGAGGTTTTACTTTTGTCACTGACCCTTTGAGTGTGTGTGCGCCTGCCTACTCATGAACAATGAGCCGCAGGATTTCCCCGTCAGGCCAGGCAGTGAGGAGTTCTACAAGTCTCCCTATGAGATGGGATGTCCCTGGAGCTGTTTCCAGACAGTGAAAAATGATTTTAAAAGACTATAATAGGTGATTTTTTTTTTTGGTATTTTGGAACCACAACCTGAGCGATGGCTGTTAACATGCACGAGACACGGACGGGTTCTGATCAGCAGTGCTAGTTAACCACCCCAGGCTTATACGGTGAAAAAAATGACATTTTTTCTGTGAAAACAGAGAGCATGAAGGGCCGCCCTTCCAGGCAAATCTATAATTCAAGAAAATACCCACACTGGGCTCCAAGACAGAAACTGGAAGGGACCAACAGTGAACCTGGGTTAGTTCCGCCATCCCTACGCCCAAGGCCGGGGAGCAGGGCGGACGGTGTTCCGGATGGAACGTGGACGTCACAGGCCGGAGGCTACCACAAGCCCGTCCAGCTCAGCACCTGCAGGTCCCCAAGAACACGCAGCCCAGGGCTCTGGGCACTAGAGGTCAGCGACGCTCCGAGGGGTGGGGAGGGCGTGGTGCCGAGGGCAGAGCCACGCTCCAAGCTGCCCAGCACGGGCACCGGGGAGGGGACACTGAGTCCGGCCAGCACGCCCAGGACTCCCTTGTCCCAGCCGTGCTCAGGAAATGCTCCATCTCACGCATAGGTGGGGGCACCGTGTGTGCTGTGATGGGGACGGGACGAGGTGGGACCAGCCTGCCTGGGCGACGGGTGACGCAGCATGGGGTTCTGAAGGACACATAAGAGCTCACGGGGCAGGCTAGTGGGAAAGGACAGCCCGGGCAGAAGGAACAGCATGAGCCACAGTGCACCAGTAAAAGCACCAGAGTAGGTAGCACACACACAACCACTTCTTGCCCTTGTCAGAGGCCACGGAGCCAGCCCCCTGGCAGCCACAGTGAACTTCCCACAGAGCACTGGGACCCTGCCATTTCTCCGCGGAGGGTTCTGGGTGGCCTCCCAGGAGCAGGGCTCCATCTGCCGGCGGCGGGGGGGCCCCAGGCCAGCCCCATCTGCTATGCCCACTAGGACCCGCTCATCACTGCTGCAGCATAGAAGGCTGGCCATGCCACGCCTGACAAGCACTTAGCCCGGGGCCCATCCCAGGACACATTTAGGACGCCCAGCTCACCACGAAGAGGGTGATGCCCGCCCGGGCCACAGCGTAAATGACTTCTCTCGAGAAGAATCGTCTGACCTGCGCTCTGACGCAGGTCCCTTGCAGCAGCGCCTGGCCTCCCCGGTCTCAGCTAGTCACCTGCCATGCAGCGTGGCTTCCCCACGGAGAACGTGGGTCCAGGGAGCGGGGACCCCTCGGCCTCGCACCCCCACATACCAGATAATCCCTCCCCAGAGGAGGGAGAAGACAACGTAGAACAGCAGAGACCCCCAGATGACAAAGTGGTTTATCCAAGTCCAGTAGTGCGTATCGAGTGCCAACTGAAAGACAAGACACAGGCTGCGAGTCGGGGCCTCGTCGGGGCCTCAGCCACAGCATCACGGACCAGCAGCCGGAGAGAATGGGGAACACAGACCACCCCGCCTCCACAGCAGCCCAAAGGCCCACGTAAACCTGCTGCAGAAGCATAATCAGAGCTCCCAGAGGAGAGAAAGAAGGCAGTGTCGCCGCATCCCGGGGGGGACGCCCTGGAGTGTCTCCTGCTCGGGGAGGACCCCCCCCGGCCCAGCTACCCTGTCGGCTGTGTTCCCACTGCGGAGACTCGGGGCCACAGTCTGAGGAATACAGAACCCGGCCTGAATTTCAAAAGAGCTGAATTTCCCATAATACATTCATTTCTTTTAAAGTAACTTTTTTTTAAAGATTTTATTTATTTATTTGAGAGAGAGAGAATGAGAGAGAGAGCACATGAGAGAGGGGAGGGTCAGAGGGAGAAGCAGACCCCCCGCGGAGCAGGGAGCGCGATGTGGGACTCGATCCCGGGACTCCAGGATCATGACCCGAGCCGAAAGCTGTCGCTTAACCAACTGAGCCACCCAGGCGCCCTTAAAGTAACTTTTGACTGTACTGGGGCTTGTCATTTAAAGGAATTCTAACCTGACTCCTTTTATAAAGAAAAGGCTCATTCCCTCATTCACCTTCTGTGTAATTCCAGAAGTTCACGTATTGGTCGCCCGGCACCCAGTGCGCTGCGTCCCCACGTGACTTCTTAAATGACTGAACATGACCCTGGAGGGTGGCCCGGAGCATGGGGGCTCCAGCCCGAGCATGGTTACAATGGACAGGGCAGCTGAAGAAGGAACATCAAGGGCATGCGCTTACCTTTAGTGTGACCGTAAATACCATCACAGTGAACACCAGCGTCCCAAAGGTCCAGTTTCCAAAGATCTGTGGGGGAGAATCGTCCAGAGAGTCTCCAGTTAATACACATCACTCCCCTCCACGCTCAAGACAAGACTGTCAGAGAACACACCCCAGTGCTCTTGCAGACCAGCGCTCCAGACCCTGAAGATACAGGGGTGGGAGGAAGCTGGCTGTCAACACCCCGGGCCCCCCAGACCTCTGGGGTCCCCGCGCCACCCCTGGGGGCCAGGCCAGCGGTTGGGGGATGGGTTCAGAGCCCTTCCTGCACTGACCCCCCACGTCGGCCCGCTCGACCCTCCACAAACATCAGTCCTAATGTGGCAGACGGAGAGGCGAAAATCTCCGGGAGCAGGAATGCTCATGTGCAGGGTGCCGGCCGTGTCTCTTCCGCATCGCGTTCCCTGTGGAAGAGACGCGGCCCAGCTCCCCGGCTCCGCGCCGTCTGCACGCTCAAGAACAGACTCAGGAGCACTGGCTACCTCCTCCGAACTCAACTCAGACACCGCCCGCCCTGGAACAAAACCAAGGACAGGAGCGAGCAGCCCAAGAGGACAACCGTGTCCTAAACAGGCGACCCTGTGAGGGTGGGGCATTCCCCTGGACAGTCACGGGGAGGGGGAAATGGAGGCAGACGAGACAGCTGCACAAAGGCCCTGGCAGCCAGGCTGACGGCCAGAACCACAGATGCGCCAACAGCGCCGAGGAAGTGCCTCCCGCCCCGCATGGCGCCACGAAGCCACACGTGGTGGAAACATAGGGTCAAATCACGACAACACATCTCTCAACTACAGACAAAGACACAGAAAACGAAATACCGACTTTCTCTTAGGGGAAAATCAGTCCGCTGGAGATTTTATTCTCTTCAAGATTTCTCCAGAATCCCCTAAGCACGGACCCCCTTCTGGTTTCTGTGAAACGTGCCTCTCAGAAAATGTTCCTAGTACTTTAAAAGCAAACAGCTCTATTTCATTAAGAATTAAGAGGCTGGAATACAAAGGGCTTTCTGTACGGTTAGTTTTCAACAGAGAAAACGCCGGCGAACACGGAGGCTAGGTCTTTGCATACGTTTGGCGAGGTAGGATTCTAGAGGTCGTGTGAGGACACAGAGCCCCACAGACCCCCACCAACATCCGGACCTCATTCCCCAGTCCATCACTGGGATCAAAATGGGGCTTCCATCACTCGGACCCACACATGGGGGCTGGTGCCTGGAGGCGACTCTGCCCCCAGGGGACCCCCGCAAAGTCCCAGGACGGTTCTGGCTGCCACGCTGGGGAGGGGGCTGCTACTGGCACCTCGCAGGAAGGGCTGGGGTCTGCTGCCTGCACAGGGTGGCCCCACAACCAGGGACCATAACTTCCCAGCCCCCAGAGGCCACAGTGCCCAGGGAAGAAACTCTGACCGAAAAGTGCTGTCTTGTTTCACTTTGGGGGCAGGAAAAATTTTAAGCTCTGAGACCAGGAGCAGCTTGGCAGCAGGCTACAGAAATGCTTGGCCAGCAGGGTGTCGGAAACCACGCTGCGTTTTGTTTTCACTGGAAGCTGATGCTTGCAGACAAAAGGGCACTGTGAGCAGGCTTGAATCCCGCGTGGGCCCGTCAGTGGGACCTGGCAGAAAGGCCTGCCCCCTCCGCTTCCTGACACCCGGGGCCCATGGTCACACCCGTCCTGGCAGGGGACATGGAAATCTTTTTTAAGGGCCGGGTAATAGCAAGGTGCAGCAGTGTGTGCGTGCATAGCAGACGGGCAGGGTCTCACCAAGTGCATCACCAGCTGGTAGATTTGTAGAGCTGGAAATTACGGCCAACCTGGGATTCCGTACCAAGTAGGGCTCCCGATGCCTCACACAGTAATGCATGGGCCTCAGCTGTAATTTCTACGGGCACGTACCAACAACACACAACTAATTTGGCTCCAGAACTGGGAATTTTGGTTCCAAGCCCCGGCAATGAAGACACATCTGCTCTACCTCACCTATACCCTCGGCCAGCAGGTCCTGAGTCACCAGGACAGCGAGTAAGGGGGACGGCTCTGGGAACACCCTTGAAAGTCCTCATCTGTTCTCGCAGGGTGGAGCCCTTGGGCTTTTGTCACTGAAGTTGTTTGCTACTATTTCTATAGATTCTGGGGGTGGGAGGCAAAAGGGTGTCCAGAGGGTTTGCTTTCTGAATGGCATCAGTCCCAGGTGCGCTGCACCTGATTTCCTAACAGAGTACTCCCCTTGGCACAGACTCCCAGGGACTCCCAGCCCTGTGTGGGGACAGCGAACACCTGGGGAGCCTGCAAGCCTCCAGCTCCACCTCACTCGCCCTCGGTCCTCCCTCTGCCTGCCCAGGAGCATCCTGTAGGAAAGCGTTCTGCTCCTAAAGGCCCTCAAACCCAGACCAACTTCACTGTCATGTGTAAAAATATTCCACAACAAACACAACACACGCAGTCCATGCTCCCTTCACGCGGACTCTGCCGTCTGTTCTCGATGTTTGCTGCCCTCCGTTACCACCTCTGGAAGAAACCTGCTGCTCCATACGAGTATGTCCGTTACTGCCTCTGTGAGCTCGTTTGTGCATCACAGGGAGAAATAGCTTTCTGTGTGTGCAGAAAATGCTCCCTAAGTGAATTTCTTTTCAAGAAGTTATGATGAGCATTGCCTCAACACCACACGGGATCTATGCACATTCCTACAGAACAATGTAGCTCTCAAGAAAACAGGTCCTCACCTACTGGCCACCAGTGGGATGGGGCTTCTGAACCATAACACCACAAATGCACCCTCAGCAGGAAGGGTGGGTGTCCAGGGAGGGATGCACATTACAATCAGCAAACTCCTGCTGCCCATGAACCAAGAGCTTCATCAGTCACCACAGAACGGCCCTTGATGCACTTGGGTTCTGGGATTTATCTGAATTACTAGAGAACCAGGCTACAATGCTATCTTAGTTTGTGGGCGATCAAACCCTCTTTCCCACAAAGCAAACAAGAAAGGCTCCACCTGGAGATGTGGATGCACCGGGGTGGGGGCGGGGGGGTGGGCTAGAGTTTGAACACCAGACGTTTAACCCTGGCTTTGCCCTGTGTGCACTGGCCTTGGGCCACCCCAGCCTCCCGGGGCTCCTGTCCTCCCAGGGATGCGGGATGGAAATGAGCAGCACTCCTGACTCGGGGATGCTGCGGTCACTCTTCATCTCGCTCTGACGAGCCCGGTCTTGGGGTTCCCCACCGTCTACGGAGCACTGACCTGCAGGAGACTTCACCTCTCAGAGCATCACTGTGGACAAACACCTCACCTCACAGAGCCTGCCTGGCACCATGCGCCCCGTGCCTGGTTCACAATATCACCAGCCTTCTGAGCAGCTTCATGTGTGGACAGGCCAGCAAGTGGGGCCGAGGGCGGGCCCGGGAAGCTCTCAGCCAGCGGGCAATAGGGCACCTGCCGGGCTGATCTTCGATGCAGTGGCACGGGCCAACTCTACTTTCTCCGTCTTCGTCTCTCTCTCTGTCCCTGTTTCAAATTCTAACGACAGCCCCGTGCGCTAGGAGCTCTGCCAAGGCGTGCATGTGTGCGTGGGGTTATCAGTGTTTTGGAAAAGCCCTGGCCTAGACATCAGGAATCAGGCCCCGTGGAAGCTCAAGGCACCCCGAAGGAACGTGCCAGTCGGAGAGAGCAGGAGGGAACCGGCAGAAGTTCCTGCATCCACTGGAGGCGTCAGAGCACCACGGCACCCTGAGGAGCGGCTCGAGGCACATCAGGGCTCCGGGGATTTGAACACAAGTCGGAGACACTGCCTGGGCCTCACGAGGGCCTACACCATGCCTGCCAGCCGGCACGACGACGTCCAGGGTGCACGGGCCCCCCGTGTTGTCGTGCGCATCCATTCCCTGCTGAGACCAAGCAGGACCAGTCCTCTCACTAGGTACTTTCGAGACTGGGGCAACGAAGGAGCAGCACAGAATAAAATGACACCATCGGCATTGCACAAAAACCCCGGTTTGAGCACTTGTGCGCGTACGTTACTCCATCTGTCTGAACTCGTTGCTTTGACGTCAATGCCAGGCCAGGAGTGGGCAGCACCACGTGGGGAGGCTTCTCGTGGTAGCAACAGGAACTTGGTCCTGACATCCCAGCTCCGGGGACCCGAAATCTTAGTTCTTCCTAAGACACGTGCAAGACCCCCCCTCAGGGCCTCGCTGCAGGAAGTCCTGTGGAGACCCCACAGGAGGACGGGCCTGGGGCCGGCTGGCATCCAGGAATTATCCAAGCAAATGAAAACAAAGGAGTGCACTCTAGAGAAACGTCAGGCTTTCGAAAAGCAAAATGAGATACTTAAAACATTTTCAAGATCAATTTAGTAAAAGTTGATTTAAGCTACAATGAAATAGAGCAGCCCCTTAGTAATGAGGAGAAAGAAAAGTTCTCCCCGTACCAGTGGAACAGTGGGCCGCCTGGTGGGCAGGGGTCACGTCGGTGTGGCCGCCAAGCCCGGGCAACACTCTGGAGGGGACGGCCCTGAAGTGCGCCTGCATGTCTCCCCACGTGTCCCCAAGGCCCGGGTCTGCCACACTCAGCGCAGCATCCCCACTGGGCCTCCTGTGCATGGGACGGCGCCGCGCATGGAAGTTCAAACACATCAATTAAACCGAGCACCACCTGGGCTGGCGAGCCTGACACACAACTCCAGAGAAGAAACACCAAGTACGCACGACCAAATGCAGACACACTCGCCTAATGCAGCGCCGGCCCCGCGTCGGGGCTGGTGGCAGCTAGCGGCTTTCTACCGACAAAGCACACAGAAGAAGTCACAGGTGAAAATATTTCGAGAAATATTTTATTTTTAAGGCACTCCAAAACATAAAGGACAAACCCACAGTTTTCTTACCATGTGTGTGTTGGTGGTCATTATCTGAGAGTGGGGAGGGAAGCCCGAGGCAAAAAGACAAAAGCAAGATACGAATAAAACAACCCCAGAGATTATGCAAACAGGCAAAGAACTGCCTGGTTACTAGCAAACTCTCAATCCACTCTTTGCAAAGGCAGCAGATACTTAAGGTAAATACGGGTGGAGAAAAGCTACAATGTGTTAAATATGAAATTAATTCCCAAAGGAAATAAACTAGGCCTGAGGGAGGGAACCAACAAAGCGGCTCCGGTGATGCAGTCCCACAAGCCTGGGACTCGCAGGACGGGTGCGTCCGGCAGGAGCAGCGGCACCGCGGCCTCCAGGTGCGTTGGTGGACAGATGCCCCAGTACCAGGCCCCACAGGCTTCCCCGGCCCACGCCCGTATAGGACTCCCAAGCAGCCCAGCCCACACAATGCGGTTCCGTACTAACCTGTCCATTGCTGGTCACTGTTGTGTTTTCAAACATGAAGTAAGCACCAAAGAAAAATACCAGAGCATCAAATACTCCTAAGAATGTCCAGTAGATGAACACACGCCAACGGAGCAGAGCGTTCTTGGCGATATCTCTGTGGAAACAGACAGGTGAGATCACACATCAGGGACACCAAACTCTCACAGTGGCCGGGCCACCCCACGCTCTGTCCTGACCATCTGGCCAGGAAGGCCCCCTCAGTCACGGCACCATCCCAGGCTGCAGAGCCAGCTGGCTCCACCACACAATGGAAGTGGGTCATGGAGAAACAGGCCCAGTACACAGGGTCACTCTGCCCGGCAGGTCTATTCCCGTGTCTGCCTGACCCCCTCCACACCTGCCCTGGGGCTGGACACACGCTCTGATCTCAGAGCCGTCCAGGTGGGTCCCACGGGGCTCCTGCTGATAGCCTCTGGCACCGACCGTGTCCCTGTGCCACACTCCGCCTGCCCCCTGGCCGCCTGCCAAACACCCCTGCCCCTTACCCAGCACCGCGCCTGGCTCCACAAAGCCCTTGGGGCAGCCAGAGCACCAGACTGCTGGACCAGAAGCAGAATCAGAGCACGGTGAACCAAGCACGTGCCCGGTGGTGGCACGGGACCACTGGACAATGTCCCTGTGGGATCAAATGTGAACGACATTTGGTTCTCTCCCTCCAGGCGGACACTGATGTGTCTGAGGGCAGACAAATGCTCACATCTCTGCTTGTGAATGGACCCAGGACATGAGGCCCACACCCATCCCATGTGACATGGGCTGTGGGCCTCAGGCTCGTGGTGCATCTCCTGGTGCAACTCTTATACCAGTCAGTCCACGGGAGGCCAGCTGCAGGGGTCCCTCTGGATGCAGGGCTGCCTCGGCGTCTCCCGCCTCCTCAGACGCATTCCCCTCCCATTGAAGGCACAGCAGTGAGCTCCACGCTTGCCTGCTTGTCGCCCACACGGATCACTGGGGCCCTGGGGCTTCCAGATCCCACATCACGGCGGACACTCTGATGGGGCCGTGAGGCTGGCAGGTGCTCTGCACCATGTGGCCACAGGATGCACATGCACACAGACGGACACCAGTAAACCTGGGCGCCCAGAGGGATGCCGTTCAACCCCCCATGCGACGTTCTGTTGGGCATTAACCCCAGGGTCACTAGAGAAAGGCTCACAGAACCCAGGTACCCTTAAAACTATACATGAATCTGAAATTACTTGATCTAAGAGGTTAAATTTAAGAAAAGCCACAAAAAAGTAACACACTGAATCTGCCAGCCGTCTTGGAGTATGATTCCAACTTGGCAGAGAAACGCCTTTTCCTGATTAAAAAGTACTTTTTAACAAAAAAAAAAGCACTCTGAGATCAGATCTGTTAACTTTTCTTTTTATCTCACTGAATGGGACGTACTTGGTTTTTAAAGGATAATTTAGGCTCTAAATCCACTGGGGTCACCAGGGGGCACAACCGAACCGCGTATCCCGGGTCCTCCCATAACTACTTACTTTTTTTTTTTTTAAAGATTTTATTTATTTATTCATGAGAGACAGAGGGAGAGAGAGGGAGAGGGAGAGAGAGAGAGAGAGAGAGAAGCAGAGGGAGAAGCAGGCTCCCAAGGAGCACTCCCATAACTACTTAACAGGCACGTCTCAGATGCAGCACCAATCCTCTCCCTCAATCTGAAGTATGTTCGCTTCAGTTACATTGTTTCCCTATGAAAGCCTCTCTGGGGGAAGCGAGTGCACCAGTGCTGAGCGCTTCGGGCTTTTCTGTGCAGGGAGTGGGGTGCAGGATGGAGGGCACCTAGTGCACCCGGGCTCCCATCGCAGGCGGTACCTGTAGAGGGAGGGGTCTCTCCGCAGCGTGTCGATGCTGACGTGCTGTTCCATCAGGCTGTACAGAAGGATCGGGAGGGAGGTAAAGCTGATGTTGTAGAGAGTCAGGTAGGCAGTGTCATACAAAGTCTGTGGGGAGCACAAAATCAACCTGAAAACCGCACTCCTCCGTCCGTCTCCACAAACCGCTCTGATGCTTTGTTGAAATGTACATGTATTTCTTAATTTGCAAAGACCCAGACCCACGAGCATTCCAACTGCACAGAGTCCACTTTCTGCAGCTACAGACAGCGGGGCATTTTTCAGTCCTTCCTGGTGTCAACTGTCAGGTTAGAGCCGTGGCCGACACAGGCACCACCGGGACCCACCCCATTTGGCTGCTGCAGACTTGCAACAAAAACAGTTGCTGAGAAGTCTGCAATCATTTGATGGCCACCTTCAAGCTTCAGTATTCTCTAGTCCCGGCCGCTCGGGCAGAAGCAGGGACATGACGGGAAGGGGATGCCCCGAGGGGCCGCTGTTCTCCTGGGCAGCTCGGCACCCAAGTGTGCCAGATGCTGACAGTCAGGCACCCGGGAGAGGGTCTCAGATGCTGACTCAATCCTCTCCGTTAGGGGCAGAAAGCCGCCACAGCCTTTGGGGGCGGGTGAGCTGGGCACCTCGCTGGTGGGCCACGTGAGCAAGCCCACGGCAGCCACTGGGCATCAGCCACGGTGGCCACTCCATGTCTGCTCCTGAACCTGCCTGTGGACCGGGCTGCACAGGGGTGCGAGGTGGAGGGCACCACACCCCTGAGCTGCTGCCCCCTGCAGCCTGCTCCCCCTTACAGCCTACTCGCCCCTGCAGCCTGCTCCCCCTTACAGCTTACTCCCCCCTGCAGCCTCCTCACCCCTGCAGCCTGCTCTCTCCTTCACCACCATAAGGGCAGGGAGATAAGGCCCAGGGGAGCTTCTGACTCCAGACAGTAGGACTCACCTGTTGTGAAAATCCACAGAAGAACTGATATAAAAACTGAGGGAAGATGAAGCAGACATTCTGAAAGGCAAGCCACACACTAGTTAGTTCAACAGCACACCGTGAGACGCATCTACCCTCCTCAGCTGTCCCGGTAATATGCCGTATCTGCAGGAAGTGACCCCATAGTGTCCTGTGTTCTCAGAAGGGTGGGTGATGGGCTGTAAAGTCTGCTCTTATTTTAATGGCCCTAGGAGGCACGTGTTCCAGTCGCTCCGTGAGCAGACAGCGTCCAGGGATGCTGCCTACAGAGGAATGAGGATGCAGCGGGGCCTGAGCATGGCCAGGAGAGAGCCTGAGAGTGGACGAATAAGGAGCGGTCGCCAGGACGCATGGAAGAATGGCCTTCCCGCAGTCACGTGACAACGCAAGGTTCCTGCTGGTTCCATGCCAAATCTGTGTGCGCAGGGGTGTGTTGCACCTCCTCTCTCAGGGACAACACGAGGACCCCCTCCCTGCTGGCCCTTCTGTCTCTCCCTGAGCCGCCCCTCATAGCACCAGAGCGATGCTCAGTGCACCGCGTGCAGCTGCGGCACGGACGCCCTCCTACCTTATAGAAGAAGTACTGCACGAGCTCTGATATCCTGATGTAATAGAAATGCCCGTGAACGAGCAGCATCTTCTTCAGGTGCTTAAATTTCGGGACCGCATAGTCGCTGTTCCTTGCCGCCTGACGACCTTCCTTCCCAATGACGCCTGCAGGAGGAGACCCACCCTCAGCACCGTGCAAGGGGAAGCAGCAAGAAGCGAAATGAGGAGCCAGCAAACACCGGCGACGAGAACATCCGGACCCACACGCGCCCTGCACCTGCGCCCCTCGGTCCCGCCACCAGACTCCCCTCCCTGCCTTGCGGGCACCCGGACGCGGGCAGCTCACCGATGCCCACGTGCGCCTCCAGGATCATGCTGACGTCGTTGGCGCCGTCGCCGACAGCTAAAGTAATAGGGTGCTCTTTCGAAAGTTTGATTAATTTAACAATCTGGAAAATAAACAAACGCAGCATTTATCTTCTCTGTTTTGTTTGCACAGATCGCTAACTAGGCAGAAAGAACATGGATGTCAAGTCAGCCAAGGAAGATAGAACAATGATCAGCTTGGTGTGAACCTCCTACGTTCAGTCTGCTGTCTGCGTGCAGGACGGATCCTCACACTGGAGCCCCGACACAGTAAAGAGAAGGCAGCTAATACGTGACTACCAGGGAATAAACTGGAAAAGGCTGGTGGGCAACTGCTATCCGTTCCTGCTACATGCACAGATTCAGCAGACGGGGTCCAGGCGGACCTCTGGGGACACCCGAACAGCACGTTCTGCTAGAAGGCAAGGCCATGCCAAGCTATTTGCTTTCGAGCATCTATTTCTTATAAATAAGCAGCTTCTCACGCTCTTTTAATCCTCAAAGTTGTCACGTGTGCAAATCCAATCTGGAAATTCAATACAATTAATAATTTCAAGCGTGTTGTCCATTTCTTGGCAAACTTTCTCTCCGTCTATGTGTCTAAGTGCTGCAGTTTGGGATAGAAGACCGAGAAAATGAGGAGCCACGTGTGGACCGCCTGCCATTTCATGAAACACTAACGTGTGTGAACCTTTCTGAAAATCAGTTAACTGAAAAAAAGGGACCGTGTAACACATGAAAATCAAACACAGAGTCCTTAGTCTGCCCGTCTGGACAGGATGACACGGGTTTACGTGGAGCCTGACACAGAAGACCCCGGGGGGCCAGGCAGGACCGCGGCCACGCTCCTGGGTCTCAGCTGGTGCTCGCGGGCGCCCGCGGGGAGGGGGTCCTGGTGTGCCTCTAGAGGCTGGAGGAATGCTAGAGATGCAAGAAATGACTCTTCACACGTGGTTTTCAGTGTTTTACCCTAACCCCTGCATTAGTCTGAGCAGTGCTGCATTTCTTTCATGAACAGTTGAAGACAGATTGGTCTCGTGCATCTCTAAAGTGGCTCGACAAAGTGAGATGTGCTGTAGGTTTACTGATACCAGAAACACACCCGTGCTCACATGTGTCTTCTATGATGCTTTACAAAATACTGAAAAGAAAACACGTCAGGTGTGGGTCTCCAACAGACCACGTGGGCTGGGTAGGACAGGAATCTGGAGTCCAACAGCCTAGAAGCCGTATGTGGACTCTGCCAGTTTCCAAATATACCCTGTAGACAAGTTATCCCAGTTTTCTGTGTCTAAGCACTCCTCTGTGCAATCAGCGTAACACCCCCTCACACGCTACCATTCTGTAGGGGTTCAGAGCTGCATCTGTCACGGGATAGCAACAGCAGCTATGTCATAATGCACTCGCACCCTCCCATCCTTCCTACAGAGTCTTAGAATGAGGTTCCCTCTGCACAAGAGGTCGTGCAGGGCCAGGCTTCCCAGCCTCCAGTGGGAGACGTGTGCACCTGATCTGGCCAACTCTCACCTAATCATGACAAGCAAAGTAAGATCCAGGTTGGAAATTGCTACCATTTGTGCTTCTATTTAAAAAAGGTGGTGCCTTGCTGGGTTTGGAAAAAGAAAACCATGAGAGGCTGTAAGAATGAGCCAGAGGCTCTGGGTGTCTGCCCACCCCCCACCCCCCCCGGGGCCAGCTGAGACGGGGGCCGACCTGAGCCTTCTGCAGGGGTGCCATGCGACAGCACAGCACAGCGCTGCAGTTACGGCAGATCTCCAGGAAGAGCTCCCGGTAGTTGCCACAGCTCCCGTCCTCACGGGGCTTCATGATCAGGGACAGCGCCGCTCCGTCAATGATCAAACCGTAGTCCTGCATGTCGGCTGAGAGTCTGTTCAATTACACAAATCAGAGACATGACTCAGGAGCGAAGTGCACAGACTTTAGAAGACTATCATTGTTTTTTGGATATCTGCAGATGTCATAAACTGATGATCAAGGGATTAAGAAACTGGTATTCCTCGTTTTATCAACACAGTCTTTAGAGCACTGTACAGAACGCCCTCGACCACATGTTAAAATTGAGTTTTAATTAACATTCTCCTGCCACTGAGGCAAAGCAAACCCTGAGCTCTAGCTGCGCTTTTGTGTGCACACTCCCCTACTTTGGCAAAGCCGACCGAGAGCGTGTATCCTGCGGCCAGCAGAGGGCAGTCTTTATTCCCGAGCCCCAGCCACGGTGGCCAGCCTCAGGCTGCAACCTTGCCGTGAACCCCTCCCGGGCATCCTGCCTGGAGGACGTGAGCTGGAAAGAACACGGTCAGAGTACGTCTTTCTGCTGGGTTTCAAAGTTACAAGAACATCCCTGATCCCCCAGAGGAGTCCTGCAGATCAGGTGAAGGGAAACATCCTTGCACTACTTATGAATAATTTAACTTTTGCATATGATGAGAGAGTGCTTTTGCATTACGACACTAATGAAAATCTAAAATGATTCCCATGAAATCTTAACCTTCAATCATGGATCTGATACCAGTAAGGACAGCATTGATAAAATGTGAATATACTGCTGAATGTTCTTGGAAAAAACAACTCTTGGGCATATCCTGTTTTGTCTTAACAGACAAATAAGCATGCATTATTAATATTTCTCTCTCCACTCTGACAGATACCCTGAGGAATCCACGATACAGTCCAAGTGCCTTATAAGCAGATGAGAATGATCTCATTCCCAATATTTTATAAATCAAGTCTGCATCCTTAAGCAGCACTTAAAAGTGAACACACACACACACCTCTTCTGCAAAAAAACACATCACAGTTGCTACAAAGAAATAGCTTTGGCACATCCCGCTGTTCACCGCGAGCACGCGGGCGCTGCTAGGACCCCCAGGGATGGACCTGCGCCACCTGCAGGGGTGCCAAGGCTGTGTGGCCCTCCCATGGCAGAAAAGGGGCACTGCCTACCCTGAGAAGTTGTCCCTGGTTAGGCTCCCGCTGTGGCGCAGGACGGTCTTGCTCAGCTCAAACAGGACGTCGTGTAGACTCTGCTCCTCGATCTTCTTGGTGGTGAGCTCGAGCAACTGCGTGTTCCTCCTGAACAGCTTGCAGGCATAGCAGGTGGCAGCTGCCGTCTCCATCTTGTCCCCGGTGAGAACCCAGACTTTGATCCCGGCCTTCTGCAGGGCTTCTATGGTGTCGGCAGCTTTCTCCTGGAGCCTGAGCAAAGCAGAAACGAGAACACAGGTCTGAGTGTGGCACTGGTGAAGCCAAGAATTTCCAAAATTTGTAACCTAGGAAACTATTTCCGTCCCCCCAAGCTAAAAATACACCACACCACTAGCTTGTGATACTACCATGAGGTACCCGGAGCTGCTTTTATACTTATGTATTAACTTTTTACAAGGAAGCACTTCCTAATTCCAAGCAGAGAAACACCCATGATGTTAAGGAGTAAAGCATCAGTCTTGCATAACTGACATTTGGTGAGCACGCAGTGCTCTGTGTAGCTGGGGCTCCCCCACTTGTGGAGGATTTTAGGCAATTACAAGGACCATAACCACCAAAAAAGAAAGTCTTAACGAGGGGAAAATGGAACCAGGAAAAGAGGTAGTCAGTAGTATTCACTGCCTTTCCTTTGGCATGAACTGTTGTAATTCTGCCACTTACCACACTGGAGCCCAGGTATCTTTAAATATGGTAAAATCCCGAGAAAGCCAGCAGGTTCCACGACTGGCTAGCGTGTACCATGAGCTGGGCACGTGTCAGATGCCATGGGAAGCATTCTGCCTGCGATGAATCCCCTTCACCAGAGCTCATGGGGCGAGCCTCTGTTAGCGACCCTGTGCTAGGTGTGGAAAACCCAGAGCTCGTGGGGCGGACAGACTCGTGCAAGGATGGGTGGCTCATACACTGGTCAGGCCGCCACACTGTGCGTGGACGTCTGCCTCATTTGGGACCTGACATTCTTCCTAGATTTTAGTGTCTGGGCTTTCAACAGCTGTGTGAAGTAATGTGCCATGTCCCTGCCCAGCACTGACGGGATGGGATCCTAACTGGGGTGACCCAGTGAGACCCGGCAAGCTTCCTTGGCAAAGCCTTGCACTCACATGACCTCAGCATTCCAGGGACATGGAAAACATCTCTAATTTCATCAGTTTTTTTGAAAATGGAAACTGAGGACCAGAAAGGTCAACCTGCAGAGTTGTTGGTCAGGGATTTTAGGGAAATGATTTGTGACTGAATATCATCACTTCAAAGCTGCTGGCCCCCAACTGCCCCTGGGCACCTACTCTGTTTTTGAGGTCCCGACTCCCCACTGAGTTGATCTGCTCCCTCGGCCCTCATGAGGGTGTGCAGACTCGGTTCCCCCATCCAGACTCTCCTCTAACCTCCTTCGAGGCCCGTCCCACTCTTCCCCAGGCAAACGCACCCCAACGCAAGTCCCCCTCCCTCCTAGCACAGCAGACCCTCGGTGGCGTCACGTTCTAAAGCCTGTCCTGAGCACGAGGTACCCTCCTGTGTTGGTGCCTGGATCCCCGCCTGAGTGACGGGAGGGGCTAAGTCATCAAACTGAAGTCAAACACGTCACCCGACACCTTACTGAAATTGGGAAGCTGCGGAATGCTTGTTTAAGACACCCGAAGACTAGGATTCCAGTAAGGACTTAAACGTTGGGCCCACTTACACCTTAAAGACTTTGAACCTTTATGGGAAATAAACTTCCAGTAAATGCCCTCATGTTTCTGCTTCATTCTGTTAAATTGGGGCATTTTTTCTTTTCCTTTCTGTCCACGGTCTTGAGTCGCAACAGTGACACACCTGCGTCTCAGTGCGCTAGGCCTTAACTCACGTCCAGCCTATCATAGAATGGCGGTGGATGGGCAGCTCCGTCCTCGGAGCACGGGAAGACACCGGCTTGGTAATCTTACCAGTGGTTAGTCGTGGTTGTTGCAATATTCTACTTCACGGTTTCATTTCTTCAACGAGGAATGAGAAATACACCTGAGTATGTTCACATCTAAAATGTTACGCTGGGACTTGGAAAGGGCTACTGACAAATTTAGGAACAGAATTAATTATGACTGAACTCTACAGAATGATTTAAAAATGACAGTCTCTCTTGACTACTGATGACACGGTGTGAACGTGCTAACCATTCTGGTCTGTCTGGCGAAGCGTGAATGTCAGGTTCTTATCCACGGAAAGTCAAACACTGTCCAGGCATGACCTCCCGGTGACGCCACCTGGAGGCCAGTCTCGTCCCGCTGCGGACACACGTCCACGTGAGGACATGAGGTGCCGCCGCCAGTCCCCCGGGCACCCAGTGGGCCCCACAGCCTCAGAGCACCACCTCTTACTTCTGAAGCTGGGCGTGGCGAGTACATCACCTGTCCTCCACAGCCGTGGCACCAAGCAGGATGAGGTCCTTCTCTACTTGTTCGTAGGCCTCTGCTAGCTTCCTCTCTCGGTCCTGAAGAGCCACTTTGGCGGCCTGCAGCAGTGCACAAACACCTTCATATTCTTCCGGAACAAGCCTTTTGTAGGCAACGCACAAGGTTCGAAGTCCCTCCTGCAGGAAACAGCACAGCGCTTAATGTGAATTCAAGTGTCACTCTGCTGGAATTTTATCTTTCAAGAGCTTTCCCAATATCCCCTCTCTCTAATCAGAAGGACTAACTACAGAATTGTAAGTCAACGAGCCCTCAAGGCGATGAGTCATTACGTCTGAATTATTTATAACCACGTTCAATATAGACAATCCTTATAGATTACAAAATTTCACACAGGTAAGCATGGGAATACAAATTGGAGCTGTGAAAACGTAAGACTTTGTTCTTTTATTCTGACGAATAAAGAGTTAAGCTTTTTTGGGGGTAGTAATTTAAGATTTTATTGTAAATATCAAGTGATATTTCTAAAGTAACACTTTTTACATGGGGAGTTGGTAATACAGTTTGGTCTTCCTTAGCAACCACTGAAGGAAAACTACTCAGTTGTTTATCAAACCTACTGGGTCCACAGGACAGAGAAATAAGAATCCAAGAACAGTGGATTTACTGTGATCGTAACTCCGGTGACACACAGAACGCGTGCCACCAGCGAGCGAGACACCATCGGTGCCCAAGGGCCACACACAGAGTGCTTCGATCCCATCAATAGAAGTTTCCTTCCCATCAAGACGAAGCAAACCATCATAATGGTCTGACTGATGCTCTAAGGACAACTTCTCTTCTGTCTTCCCTGACTCCATGAATCCTAGGAAAAGAGCCAGAGTCCTCCTATATAGTCAGTCCAAATTCTGGGAGAATCCTGGTTTGTAAGATTTTAAAAAGAGTTTTTTTTAAAGATTTTATTTATTTATTCATGAGAGAGAGAGAGAGAGGCAGAGAGAGAAGCAGGCTCCCAAGGAGCAGGGAGCCCGATGCGGGACTTGATCCCAGGAATCTGGGATCATGACCTGAGCCGAAGGCAGACGCTTAACCATCTGAGCCACCCAGGCATCCAAAAAGATTTTGCAGTAAATGAGTTTAAATTTCCCACAAGTACCAGAAAACCCTTCGCATTTCTCATGATTCCTCAGACCTCCAAATGCGGCTGAAGGACACAATCACGGTGCGGCTAACCTCTCCTATTGTCCCAGTTCTTCAAAGAGTTGGCACAAATGGTAAGCAGAGGTTTCAGAAATAAAAACAAAGTTTTTAGAAGTGGATATGGGATTTCTGCTTGTGGAGCCAGGGAGTAGACACTTATTCCTGATTCCTCCTAAGTACTACCCAGACCCCGAACACTGTATATAAAACAACATCGATGTGCAAAGCCAGACAGATACACCACAAAAAAGAAAGCTAAAGAACAATATCCCTTCCAAATACAGATGAAAAATCCTCAGCAAAGCACCAGCAAATCGAATCTAAGAGCATATCTGAAGGATTATGCACTAGGACTGAGTGGACTTCTCCCAGGGAGGCAAGGATGATCCAGTAAGGGAAGATCAGTCCAGGTAATACATGACAGCCGCAGAATGAAGGGAAAGGCCCCCATGATCATCTCAGTTGATGCAGAAAAAGCATCTCACAAATCCAACACCTTTTCATAATAAAAACCACTCCGTAAACCAGGAATAGAAGGGAATTTCTCCAAAACCGCAGAGACATTAATGAAAACCCCACATACTGTGAAACGCTAGAAGACAGAAAGCTTTGCCCCTAAATCAGGAACAAGACCAGGATGCCCACTTTGGCCGCCTGTCTCCAGCACAGCCTTGGAATTCCTAACCAGAGCAACTAAGCAAAAAAAGAAAAGGCATCCAAATTGTAAAGGAAGAGGTAATGTCACCTCTGTTCACAGATACAATGAAAACCCTGAAAATGCCACAGAAAAATACTGGAACTAACAAATTCAGGAAATGATCAAAATACGAAGTCAACACACAAAATCAGTTGCGTTAAGAAGGTAAAAGATCTGCAGACTGGAAACTACAATATGTTGCTGGGTTAAGTTACAGGAGACCGAGGGGAACAGAAAGGTGCCCTGACAGTCCTAACGACTCCACCCGAAGCCATCCACGGAGTGGGTACAAACCCCCAACAGCCCGATGGCTAAACACATCCCAACACTTGTGCAGCATCTCAAAGTTCTGAGATCAGCCAACCGTTTCGTAAAAGAACAAAGTTGAAGGACCCACACTTCCTGATTTCAAAACTTACTGGAAAGGGACAGTCATCAAAATAATGCTGCTGGCAATAAGACAGAGAACAATGGAGAAGAATGGAGCCTCTCAGGCACGGCCGGGGGATTTTTGACATGGGCGCCAGGAGCATTCAACAGGGAAGGGCGCCTAACCCACAAACAGTGCTGGGAAGACCGCACAGCCACCTGGGAAAGAATGTGGTTGGACCCTTCCTCAAGTCACTTACAAGATTAACTCAGAATCGATCACAGACTCCATGTAAGAGCTAACACCACGAAACTCTTGGGGAAAAAACACAGGAAAATCTTCATGACCTTGGGTTAGGAATGTGACAGTAAATACACGAAATACCCAGGAGAAGTTAAGTATGCAGGAACGGAAGGCAGAGTAGAGGTTAGCAGGGGCTGGGGGAGCATGGAAGGGGCAGATTTTGCTTTGTGGGTATGGTTTCTATTTGGGGTGATGGCTGTTACTTGATGCCAATGAATCACAAGCTGATGACGGCTGCCTGGCAGATTTTGTTCTATGTATTGACCACAACAAGAAATGGATCACAGATTTAAACATAAAACATACAAGTATAAAACGCAGAAAAAACAGAAGAGGGCACTCGGTACCTAAAGTGATAAAGCATTTAGGCATGACACCAACGTGGGACACGCAAGGGAAAATGGACAGGACAGACATCCTCCGAATTAAAAACACTTGCTCTGCAAAATACCCTGTTGAGAGAACGAAAGAAGCTGGAAATGGAAGGAAGTATTTGCGAATCACAAATACAATGAAGAATTAACATCTTAAACTTTTAAAGAACTATAAAATTCAACCTAAAAATAAAACAAACAAAAAATCCCACCAAACAATCCTCTTAGAAAGTGGGCAAAACACAAGCAGGGACGTTTTGCTGCAGACGACCTGCACGAGAACTCACTGGAGGCGACGGCCACCTGCCTGTGAGGAGCGCTGGCTGCAGACGGAAGACACGGCCCCTGAACGGTGCAGACACCAGAAAACGGGTGGGGGTTTCTTAAAAGACTAAATGCACTCTTACATCATGTTCCTGGGTGTTCACCCCAGAGAAATGAAAATTTAGGTGCACACCACCTGGACAGGAATTACACGGTTTATTTCTGGCGGCTTCACACTGGAAACAACCCCATCGTCTTCCCACAGAAGGACGAGAAGGTGGTACGTCCACACCGTGGGCTGCTCGGCTTGAAGAGGAACCCATGTTGGCACCTCCGTACCATCGCATTTCCATCGCCCTCTTGAAATGACAAGCACCTGAAGAGGGCAGACGGGCCACGGTGGGCAGGGCCAGGTGGGCCGGGAGCGAGGTTGGGAGCAGGGCTGGGAGCGGGTCCAGGTGGGACAGAGCAGGGCTGGGAGGGGGCAGCTCGGCTCTGCACCTCCATGCGGGGTGGGCCAGGACGCCACACAAGTGACATGGTGACAGACTGCAGTTTGGACCAACACCTGCTCCCAGGCTTCGAGGTGCACTCCATGGGGGGGAAGATGCGAGAAAATGCAGTGACCCCTCTGCACGATCCTTACAGCTTCCTGAGACTCCACAACTGTCTCCACGTACAGGTGTCCCCACTCAGGCCTGCAAAGTCGGGAGGTTCCTGGCACGGGGACTGCAGCAGCCCCTTGAGCGTCTGCAGAGGACCGGTGGGCACGTGAGGGGCTCCCCAGGCCAGGGACAGACCTTCAGGAGGGAGAGGGGATGGTACCGTCCCAGAAGCCGGGCTGGAGACCCCGCAGTTCACAGGGGCTTCCCCTCTGCACGGGGGAGGAACTCGCTCCACCTGAGCGATGTCCTGGACCCACCTCACATGCCATAAAGCTGCCGTCTGAACAGAACAACGGCTCCGGGAACCAAGCCATACCCGATGGGAACACGGGGCTCCCCCGCAGCCAATGGGGCGGTGTCTTCACGCCGACCTGTGAAAGGCCAGCAGCACATACAGGGGCAGAGAGCATTACCCACAGCAAGGACACGAAACCCAGCTGAGGCGGACGCAGACACGGCACAAGGGCAGAACTGGTGGAGAAACACATCAAGTGGCCACCCTGTTATGCGCGTCCCAAAGTTAAATACAGACACGCAGCTGAAAGAAATCACCAATTGTCTGAGATGGGATGGGCCTGGTGACGACTTGTAGCCCACGAGACACGGCTTGCGAGACAAGGGGGCGTGAAGACAGGGTGACAGAAAGTCCCCCAAACAAAACTAAAAGCCCTATGACCAAGCACCGTATCCCACGACCAAGCACCGTATCCCACGGGGCGCTAGGGATCCTGGAAAGGTGGGGGCAGAAAAAATATCAGAAGACATCCTGCTGAAAACTCCCCAGCTTGATTAAAAAAACCATAAACCTCCAGACCCAAGAGGCCCAAGCAGCCTGAGCAGGCGTGAAGGGGCTGCGCCAGAGCCCACCACGACCGCCAGCCCGAGACCTGCCCCCAAAGACGGCCATGGGATGCAGACAGAGAACAAAGACAGCAGCCTCTCAAGCAAAAGGAAACGCAAGTCCGTCCCAGCTGTTTCTGCAATGGCTGCACTCGGAAACAAGCCCTAGGTGTGTCAAGAAGGGTGTTCCTGCATCGGCCACCGAGCAGCCACGCATGGTGGCGGGCGTGCCAAAGAGAACATGGGTGCCGATGCTCTGATGCGCCCTGGCACGATCGCCAGCACCACCACGGAGCGCCATTTCGCCCCCGCCCCCCGCCCCGCGGACATCCTCTCCCCACCCACCCCCCACCCCCCGCGGAGTGCAGTCCTCCCTCTCCCCCCCCCGCCGCGGAGCGCCATCCTCTCTCCCCCCTGCTCCCGCGGAGCACCATCCGTCCTGGGAGCCGCTCTGAAGGAGGACATGAGACACGGGGGACCGAACGCCTGGTGCAAACTTTAGCGCCAAAGGCAAGGTTATTAAAAAGCAGGGAGGAGAGAGTTTAAAACCAGTTATGGCCGTAAAGGGCCTCAAGGACTGGGAAGCCACGCCGCCCGCCCCCTGTGCGCAGGTGAGGGCTGGTGCCAGCATCATTCCCCATGAGGAAACGCTGTCTCTGGGACGCACGCAGCAGCTGTTCTCAGGGAACACACCCCGTCTGGTGTGGGTCCCCGTCCCCCGAGAGAAGGGGGCGATGGAGACCCCAGAGTGGTGGGGGGCATCCTCTCAGCATCCTGGGCGCAGGCCCGGGGGTCCAGGCAGTGACCAGGCAGTGGTCAGGGTCTGCGTGGACGGTAGATAGGCCTGTGGCCTGTGTGACGGGTGTGGTGACCAGCGCGGCCGGCGTCCCAGCCATCTGTCGTGGGAACAGGGCCGCCTGTCGTTTCAGACCCAGTGCTGGAGTGACTCGCAGGTGGGGCTGCCCCCTCGGGGAGGACCTGGCGCACCTGTATCAACACTCAGCACCCAGAGACGGCGGCACGTGCGCGTGTGCCCTTGGGCACTTCACAGAAGCCCTCCGTTCCGTCAACGGGACCCTCGCCTCTGTGGGCAGCAGGCTGAGTGACCGTGACTCCCACACACCAGGGCTCAATCATCTGTGCCTCCTTCGGGGTCCCTGCTGGCTTGGGGCATCAGGGCAGTGCCTCCCTTGGCCAGCAGCTGTCAACAGGCACCCACACACGGACGGAAGCCAGGGCCCGCCCCCGCCCCCCCCGCACACCCCGCCCCACCCCCGCACACACACCCCCGCCCACCCCGTCCCACCCCCGCACACACACACTCCTGCACATCCCGTCCCACCCCCACACCCGCCCCGCTCCCCCCCTCATCCCTGCACACCCCACCAGGTGTGAGCGCGGAGTAGCTGCCGCAGGGGGCGCAGCACTCAGTCCGCCTAATGCCGTGAGTCGGGTTACAGTTCGCACCGACGCTCCCGTGTGCGCCGCGGGCTTATTTAGGCCGTTCATTCCATAAGTGAAAGCGCGGCTGAAGATTCCCAACCCGCGTTCCAAGACTACCTTGGCCAAACCCCCCTTGGTTTATAACGACTGTTACACGTGAAATTCTGCGGTTTGCAGCAGCGGAGACGTGGCTGTGAGGGGCCACTGTCCCTGGCTTAGGGTCTGGTGTGGAGCGTGGGGTGGACGGGGGTTAGAGAGGCATGCGCCCCCCTGCACCGGCGGCGCACCTGCTGAGAGGGGGCCGGTTCCCAGGCAAGCAGGCTGGCTGCACGGCGCTGCTGGAGGTGTGGGGCAGGAGGGTGACGCCCAAAGCACGAGACGTGGGGGGAAGTCACCATGGAAAGTAGCTTCTAGATGATGAAGCAAATCACCAGAAATCCCTCAGGACCCTGACATAATCACTACAGACGTGCTTATAATTATGGCCCCACAACCACCAGCACCCCCCACCCCACAATGAAAGCTCGCCACAGTCTGGAGTCAGGGGCCGTGTCAGCGGCACCGCCCACGTGGCATCCACTGGGTTCCTCTCCACGTGGGGCACGGCCTTCAGAGTGTGTCCCTCAGGGGACAGCACAGGGTGCTGTGGCCAGGCCGCCCTCCCAGCGTGGGACTCTCAAACCGCCCCCCCCACCCCATCTCACCACTGCATTGCGCTCCACTCTGGCCCGGATCTGGTCGACTTTGCCTTCTATCACTCGGGGAAATACGCACACACACCCCCGCCCACCCCGTCCCACCCCCGCACACACACACTCCTGCACATCCCGTCCCACCCCCACACCCGCCCCGCTCCCCCCCTCATCCCTGCACACCCCACCAGGTGTGAGCGCGGAGTAGCTGCCGCAGGGGGCGCAGCACTCAGTCCGCCTAATGCCGTGAGTCGGGTTACAGTTCGCACCGACGCTCCCGTGTGCGCCGCGGGCTTATTTAGGCCGTTCATTCCATAAGTGAAAGCGCGGCTGAAGATTCCCAACCCGCGTTCCAAGACTACCTTGGCCAAACCCCCCTTGGTTTATAACGACTGTTACACGTGAAATTCTGCGGTTTGCAGCAGCGGAGACGTGGCTGTGAGGGGCCACTGTCCCTGGCTTAGGGTCTGGTGTGGAGCGTGGGGTGGACGGGGGTTAGAGAGGCATGCGCCCCCCTGCACCGGCGGCGCACCTGCTGAGAGGGGGCCGGTTCCCAGGCAAGCAGGCTGGCTGCACGGCGCTGCTGGAGGTGTGGGGCAGGAGGGTGACGCCCAAAGCACGAGACGTGGGGGGAAGTCACCATGGAAAGTAGCTTCTAGATGATGAAGCAAATCACCAGAAATCCCTCAGGACCCTGACATAATCACTACAGACGTGCTTATAATTATGGCCCCACAACCACCAGCACCCCCCACCCCACAATGAAAGCTCGCCACAGTCTGGAGTCAGGGGCCGTGTCAGCGGCACCGCCCACGTGGCATCCACTGGGTTCCTCTCCACGTGGGGCACGGCCTTCAGAGTGTGTCCCTCAGGGGACAGCACAGGGTGCTGTGGCCAGGCCGCCCTCCCAGCGTGGGACTCTCAAACCGCCCCCCCCCACCCCATCTCACCACTGCATTGCGCTCCACTCTGGCCCGGATCTGGTCGACTTTGCCTTCTATCACTCGGGGAAATATTGAAGAATCTGCTCCTTTGCAGAACAGATAAATTTCTCCTATAAAGTGAGGGAAACAAAGATGTTTAATCATACTAGAGGGAAGACTAGGTTATTCTTCACGTTGTGCTTTTATGAAGAAACAAAAACAGGAACACCAGCGTTGAACCATCGTAGGGATTTCCCGAGACCTGTTACCACGTGCAGTCAGGAGAAAGTTAAATCGTCCTTCCCACGGCCTCAAAGCTCACGGGAAGTTGAGGACCAGGAAGAAGACCAGTGTAACCAAGGCTGTCTGGCCCCTGGGCGAGGTAAGCACACGGCAGCGTGGCTGGCCCACGCACGGCCCCACGTGGACATGCTACAGCAGGGTGTCCATCCTTCACACTAACAAGACCCACAGAACGCCTGCTGTGAAATGTCCCCCACACCTCAAGTCACGTCCTGACGGCTTTGCACGAGCTTGTGCGGCAGACACACGCTTCCCCCCGAGATAAACCAATTTTCTCTTCCAGGTAAGCAGGGAAACTCCAGCCAAAACCAAGAGGCGAGAACAAGACAGAAGACACCAGCTCTGGTCAACAGGCCCCTGCTCTTGGAGGCTCCTCTTCCAGCCACTAATCTCCGGGCCCGGAAAGCCATGCAGCACTTCACCAGGCCGGCTTTGTGTGTGCGCGGCTCCTGGACGCGTGGGAACCTGGACAAGGGCGCCTGAACTCCGCGGCGGCGTCCGGAGCCCCACTGATCCCGGAAGGGACTCACTCCTGTGGCACACAGCAAGACATCCGAAACAGCACAAATGATGCTCACAAATGTCCTGAGACTAAACCCAAGCCTCAGGTCAACCTACGGCCAGAAAGGATGGTGTCTAGTGATGTCCAGGCCGCCAGCACATGGAGCTGGGCTGGGGCACTGCAAGGCAGGGAGCCCGATCCCCGCATGCCCGACAACTGTGCGGATTTGTGGACTGGATTCTGGTCACGAGCCACGAAGACTGGAGGCTGGGCTGGCCCCACAACCAGCCTGGGGGCAGAGCCCATTCCTGACTCCAGACCTCACTTCTTCAGATGTGATTTTACAGCCAGAAGGGCAGTCAAGACGACTTCATGAAAAATCATGAGGATTTATGGTAATGGCTTGTGTCACTGTCTCAACTTGTCACTCCCTCACACACAGGCTCCAGGTGGGACGTGTTTGGCCCTGGGACTTGGTTACAGACAGCCTCTGACATAAAAATATCCGGAGCGTGAATCAAACTTCACTCTGCAAAAAACAAGAGCTGCTTTGTGGATCTTTGGAGGTTGCTCTTCCAGTTCTGTAAACAAGAGGCCAGTAAGTGAGCTGTGGCCACAGGGGCTTGTGGTCTCCTGTACCCACCAGGCTGGAAAACCAGAGCAATTAGCCTCATCTCCAGGGATGCGTTACTACTTGAAGAACAAACTGTTTAATTAATTATTCAAACTTCTCTTGAAATTAATTGGTGCCGTGGCTGGTTCAGATGGCACGTGGTCTGTCCTGGTGAGCCTGCAGTGCCGCAGGGGAACCCCTGGGAACAGGCAGACGCCTTCCCGTGGAAGGGGCCCTGGACTGGCCTGACTGCCGTGGACATGATTCCTAATGTGACCGCGCTCCTTCTCCAGCCCCGCGATGCCCTTCTGTGGGAAGGTGGCGGTTGCTTCCCAGGGTTTCGCCCTGTGGGTGCCCAGCCCCACAGGAAGCACAGAGGGGGCAGGACTTGGTGAGCAATGGTGGTCGCGCTTCCTGTGGTGAGGTCACGCCTCCGGCTCGTGAACTGTCTCCCAGACGTGACTCAGCTGCAAGATGGCGCATCCATCCCCACAGGGAACGCCACATGGCGAAGGGCCAGTGAGGTCAAGTTCCAATTCTATGCCCTTCTTCCGGGGCACTGAGTGGCTTCAACCCTGGGGAGGGCACGTCGACCACACGGTGGAGCCGCCTGCCCCGGCACGCCCAAGCACAGCTGGGTGTGTTCTTCAACATTCTGGATGACTGTTTCCCATGACCTGCTGACCCGAGTGGCAGAACGTCTCCAGTGTTACAGGCAGCATTTACACTATGTTATGTCCCGAGACACTCAGTGCCTCACTGGCTGGGCCACGCCAGTCCGCCATGCTGACGACAGGCTCAGGGGTGTGGGAACCATGCAGGGGCAGTGCCCAGAGTGGCCATGTGCCTTCCCCAGGCTCATCGCCCAGCACCCCGGAAAGTGACTCACAGGGTTCTGCCGAAAGATGCGTCCCCCAACCTCACATTGCCCTCTGCGGCCTGAGGAGGAAGACAAGCTATTGCTGGCCCCCCCAGAACCCCATCACAAGGCTCCTGCTTAAGGACATTGACCGCCTTTGCCTCCTGTTGTAACAAAGGACACTGGCTGACACAAAATCCCCAGTGTGCCTTCAGTCACTATGTCAGGCTCAGTCTGTTTGGTTTCAGGATGGTGGCTGTATTTGGCTGCTTACCAGGCAACCTTCCAAAGACATAAACACAGCCTGGTATTGCCTAGTTTTAAGAAACAAAAAGGAATAAGATCCCACATCTTTTGCTGAGAGGTCATTTTTGAAATTGCAACTGCATTAAGTAAATTGAACTGAGCAGTATTGATTCAGGGCTCAGTAGCAGCACAGGGGTGCCTGCACGCTGAGAAAAGTCTAGCTTCTGTATTCAGGATGCTTACGGTCTGGCCAGGTGACAAGACAGATAAACAGCTCACCTGACTGACGCAGCCAGGAAGGCTCCCTACAACGTGGCTGCTGAGCTACCCTCGGAAAAGTGCAAACCAGCAAGAGGCCCTCCAGGTGGAACCGTCCCAATAGGTAGAGGCCTCCAGGTGGAAACGCCCAACAGGTAGAGGCCTCCAGGTGGAAAAGTCCTTCCAGGTAGAGGCCTCCAGGTGGAAACACCCCAACAGGTAGAGGGCCTCCAGGTGGAAAAGTCCTTCCAGGTAGAGGCCTCCAGGTGGAAACGTCCCACCAGGCAGAGGGCCTCCAGGTGGAAAGTCCCTCCAGGTGGAAATGCCCCACCAGGCAGAGGGCCTCCAGGTGGAAAAGTCCCACCAGGTAGAGGGTCTCTGGGTGGAAAAGTCCTTCCAGGTAGAGGCCTCCAGGTGGAAACATCCCTCCAGGCAGAGGGACTCCAGGTGGAAAAATCCCACCAAGTAGAGGGCTCCGGGTAGAAACATGCACATTTGGGGTTGTCCTGGGGTGGAAAGCTGGGAAGGCAGCTCAGGGAATCAGTGCTAGACACCGGAGAAGAGTCTGCCTGACACAGAAGGTGCCTCAGGGCGGATCTTTAGGATGGACGTGGTGGCAGGAGACTGGAAGGTTGCAGGTGGGTGATGTTAGGCTGCTGTGTGTGGCGGCTGCAGGGAGGGAGGGGAGACCCTGCAGGACCTGCCAGTCAAGCGGGATCCACAGGGGCTGTACCTGCGCCAGGTACGATGCTGAGGAGCCCTGTGACCCACACCTGTGCCAGGTACGATGCTGAGGAGCCCTGTGACCTGCGGTGGGCTCATCTCATTGTTTTTTTTTTTTACAGAGAACGAATAGTTAGATCCTAAAGCTCCTATAGAATACAAGCATGAGAATGAAACCACCACAACGTATAATTCAAATAATCAAAGGAAAAAGACATTCCTACCTGTAGCAGATTTTACAATCACACTCATTCTCCTTCTTACTGAGTCAAAACTCAAAATTTCCAGCAATTCAAACCTGAAAAAGAGATCAAAAATTGCTTCTATTACCTATCTGGCTCTTGAGGTCCTGGAACTGGGGAAGGACAGCGCTTCCCGGGGCAGAGCGTCTGGGGTGTCCTGTGCCCTGTCCTCACACCCGCCCCGTCGGGATGCATGGCGCAGGTGAGTGTGCTCCTGGTGGCTGGGAGGAGGGGGAGGCTGAGGCCAGGTTCCCACGGGCTCACCCCCGGCCCAAGGTGCCCTGGGAATCTGTCCACCACACCAACTGCACGTTCACGTCCCTGAGTTCTGAACACGGACTCACAGGCCTATCAGAGCTGGCAATCCTGGCAATACACCAGTGTCCTTGAAGTTCATAAAAATCATTTAAGGGACGCCTGGGTGGCTCAGTCGTTAAGCGTCTGCCTTCGGCTCAGGTTGTGATCCCAGGGTCCTGGGATCGAGCCCCACATCGGGCTCCTTGCTCAGTGAAGAGCCTGCTTCTCCCTCTCCCTCTACTGCTGCCCCTGCTTGTGCTCTCTCTCTCTCTGACAAATAAATAAATAAAAATCATTTAAGTGAAGAAAACCGATATTCAGTCAGCTTGTATGGTCGTTATCAGAAGACCGTGCTCTCTACGGGCAGTTGAAATACTGACAGTAGCTCAGCCACCCCAGACACATGGCTCTGGAAACTCCTTGGGGTCCAGAGACCCCAGCTGTGGCTCTGGGGGCGGTGAGCCTCATAGTGCTGGCCGGCTTGCAAGCTGGAGGGGGACCCGTGCCCCGCCGGGCAGCACCCCGAGGGTGTCCTCCCCTCCACGGGAGCCCCAGTCGCCTCGGGTGGAGCCGGGAGCCCGACAGCAGGCGGGGGTCTGCCCTCTGCACGTGGTCACTCAGCTCCCCGAGCTGCCAGCGCCCCAGGGACAGCGCCACTGCGCCGACCTAGGACCAGCAGCCAGTTTCAGTTGGGGCTCGCCGCTCCTGCTGACGCAGGAGTTCACGTTTCTTAAGGAAACGTTAAAATCCAAGGGTTTTTGCGACCACAAACATGAAGGCTTATGTTCTCTGCCACCTGTCTTTGCCTGTACCCATTATCACAAGTTTATTTAGAAAGGAAAGACGGAGCTCTGAGCCAAGACTCAAGATACGCCCTCCGTCTCTGACGGACACGGTCATGACACCGAACACGTGTGGTTCCTGGAGACAGAACGGGAGCCATGAGCATCAGAGTGGCTCAGACTGACTGCAGGGCGTCTGGAGACCGGGGAGCGTGGCGTCGTGGGGCCACTCAGCGTCATACACCCCAGACGCTGCAGGGATGCCTAGAGCCTCATCTGGGACGGCTCCGAGCGAGCGCTCCCGGTGGTGCCACACCACCCGGCCAGCCTCCACTCTGACCGCCCAGCCTGCGGGCGACGCTCCGGGGCCGTCACAGAGGAAGGGGAGGAAGGTGTGGGAGTGGGGCAGGGAACTGGGGTTTCCCCACGAAGACCACAGTGAGCACGAGTCTTTCCACCTGGCATAAACGTGCAGTGTGCTCACCTTTCCACGTCGTTCTCCCTATTTAAGATCTCCATGTAGTTGTCCTTCAGCCGCAGGTACGTGAAGCCAAGTCTGCAAAGAGGAGGGCAAGTCGGAGCTCAATTTCTAGTTCTGACACTCCTCCTTCAGACATTATTTAAGTCTGGGGAAAGCTTTCTTGTCAAGAAAAATAACTGTGGTGAAACAGAGGTTGCGAACTGAATTACACACTAAGGAAATTAAAATAGTGGTTTATTCACTGTCTCAAGAAACTCTCCCAGAGTGAACAGAATTTCTGACCTATCCCGCCCTCGGACTGGTAAGCGTCAGCGGGTTCCAGAAGGACAAGGGCGGGTGTGTGGACTGGCCCCTGTAGGGACCCCTTCTTGCTTACTGAGCAGTGGGGCTCTTAGCCAGGGTCGCCATGCCACAATTACAAGGACCCTGAGAGACTGTCTCCAGGACAACCCTCTCATTGTACTGATAAGGGAACCATGATCCAGAGCCAGCAGCCAGTCAACAAACGTCCGCAGAGCGTGGACCACATAACCCCCGCTCCTCCACCAGCACACCCGGTGCTGTGGTGCAGAGACAAGGGCATGGCTCCTGGATGCCAGGAGCTCAGAGATGGGGAGGTGGACGCGTCATCCCCACACAGCTGTGGCCACAATGATGCAAGGGGGCCATGGGACTGTAGGGACAGGGTGTCCACTCGCCCCAGCTCGAGCTGACAGGCTTCCTGGAGGTGAGTCTACCATGGCTGGCAGGCACAGCCCGGCCTAACTTCTGATATGTGGTACACTTCTGAGCGCTCGTTAGGACAGACAAAGACAACTTGCCGTAAAGTGCATCTAAGATTGTCTGCATCTTTAACAGAAGTGAGGAGAACCACCCATTTAAGACTGTGATAAAGAAAATCCACAGCCAGGGATTTACTCCGAACAGACATAAGCAACGCACCTGAACAAGAATTTAGAACAACAGTCCTAAGAATGCTGGGCTTGGAAAAAGCATAGAGGACACAGAGAAACCTTGTCTGCAGAGATAAAAGACCTAAAAACCAGTCAGGCCGAAATAAAAAATGCTGTAACTGAGAAGCAGAAGCGACTGGATGTAATCACAGCGAGGGTGAAGAAGGAAAAGATGGCACAGGTGATACAGAAGATGGAATTATGGAAAATAACGAAGCTGAAAAGACAGTGACGGATTCCGGCAGCGTTAACGGCTGCTTCTCACGCCGGCGGCAGGCTGTGAGCGGGAGGGACCCTCGCCCGCCAGCAAGAGGTGGACGACATGGGGCATGAAGGCTCCACCTGCCCGCCCACCCCACAGCAAGAGTCCCGGGCACAGGGGCCACCCCCGGACGCTCCAGGACCGGCCCACAGTCAGGGAAGACCGCGTCGGCACGGCCCCCGCGAGCCAGACCCGCCCAGAGACCTACCTCTGGACACCCTCGACGAGGGCCACCTCGTCGGGAGAAGACGAGATGTACACACAGGATTTCCCCGAGTCTGGTGACTTCCTCGGGCCGTCCGTGTCATCGTCATCCTTCACCTGGATGGTGTGGCACAGACACAGGGCCCGGAAAAACAGCTCTTCTCGCTCCTGTACAAGCATGGCACAAATCCCCCCCAAATCTATGCTATATCATCTTCAAGTACACAGAAAACACACAGAAGACAGGGAACAATAAAACAGCACGTGCCACTTGTGGGGGTCAGGAGCCATGAATTAGTCTCGGGTCTGGTGCTTACGGGGAGGAGTGGAAGCGTGGCTTCTCTTCATTCTCTAGCACTTCTCAGTAGGGGAGGGGAGGACACCAGTTCAAGGTCAGAGGAGGTGAACTCGGCATCCGGGAGCCTGGATGCCCTGGGGGAGCCCTGACCGCCTTCCCAGGGGTGCTGGGGTGTGGCCGAGGCCCAGGTGGGCCATAGACCACGGGCCCTTCCTCCAAGACTGCCCCAAAAGAGCAGTTTCCATGTGGAAACTGTCTGAGGCAGACGTGGCAGGGGATACGGTGCCCTTGGTCTCTAGGAGATATCACTGCATCGCCTGCTAAGGTGAGCTGCCCTGCGTCCCCAGGGGACCCTGCACAGGGCTCTGCGGTCACCAAGGTTTTGGGAATGATCTTCTCACTCACCATGTGACCATGGTGAGGGGTCACAGCACCTCCCAGAGATGCTGAGGTCCGGAGCCACAGGACTTGGGCGTGTGGGCATGTGTGCCTGTGTGTACATGCGTGTGCATGTGAGCACATGCGGCATGTGTGTGTGTGTGCATGTGTGTGTACGGGGGGCGTGGCCACCTACCCTGGCGCCGGCGCCCGGGGAGGAGTCGATCATGTCGATGCCAGAGGTTCCGGGGAGCACCTGCCCGTTGCACACGGCGTGCGGCACGTACACGTGGCCCTCGATGCAGCACTCCTTGAACTCCATGTTGTTCTCCGTGAGCGTGCCGGTTTTGTCCGTGAAGATGTACTCGACCTGCAGACACACAGTGCCACTGCGTCGGGCTGGCCAGGGCTGCATGACCTTCTCAGAGAAGGAGCCACTCGCCGAATCAGACCCCAGCGCAGCCTCGCTTCCTAACATCAACATTCCCCACAGGAAGGGGCCTCTCCGGGCGCCCCCACCCCCACACTGCTGGGGCAGGCGGAACTGCATGCAGGCCAGCTCCCCAGCCTCCTCCAATGTCTGCCAGGGCTGAGCGGTCCCGATCCAGCCGTGCAGGAGGTGTAGGCGAGGGCTTCGCTCTCCCCAGAAAACGATGGTTTTCCTGTTGTCTCTCAGTCTGCGGATGGAAGCACTGCATGGAGCTGGTCTGCTGCTTCTCGGAAAGAGAGACTCGGGGCGGGGGGAGTCTTGAATCCTCTCTAACGAGAAAATCAAGGATACAGGGAGGATAAACCTGAACTTTCTCTGTAAGGTCTGGGAGGTCAAAGTTCACAGTACTGTTTAGGACACAAGAATCAGAACTCCAACAAAAGGGCAAAACAGATTTCAGACCGAAAACCATACCCAGTGTTAAGCTCTGCACTGGGCCCAATTCTGGTTTTGTGTGCATCAGGAGTAACAGTGGAATTCTGGACGACAGAACAGTGGGAGGATGTCCCCACCAGCTGAGACCTGCTCGCTGCCCCCGGCACACGCGCCCCGGCACACGCGCGGGAGGCAAAGTATAAGGGTCAAAGTGCAGGAGCGCAGGAAGCAGAAGAGACACACCGGCCAAGCATTTCACGGTCTGCCTTCTTCACTTAGTCTCAGCAAAATGTTCTCTTTTGTCTTAATCCCTCTGCAGAAAATGCCTTTTCCCTGGGCGCCTGGTTTTACAAGTAAGCTGGGAGGACACAGCAAATGACCTGCCATCCAAACGCTTGCCCAAAACACCACTGAGCCTCTCCCTGTGCTCTGGACAATTAGGAGCAGGAAGGGAGCCTGCGTGTGACAGGTCCCTGGCACGGTGGCTATGGTTTTTGAAGTAACCGCCACCTGACTTTTTTCAGAGTGTGGATCAACAATAATAATGAACATCTCGGGAGGCCCATCTTCTTTTTTTTTTTTTTTTTTTTAAAGATTTTATTTATTTGAGAGAGAGAGAACACGAGTGCAAAAGTAGGGGGAGGGTCAGAGGGAGAGGGAGAAGCAGACTCCCCACTGAGCAAGGAGCCCGACATGGGGCTCAATCCCAGGACCCCGAGATCATGACCTGAGGCGAAGGCAGACGCTTCACCGACTGAGCCACCCAGGTGCCCTGGAGGCCCCGTCTTCTGAAACATCTTTCCACAAACCTCCCGAATGCCAGTGTTACAAGATAATTTGAGTCAAATTCACTGTACTAACCACCGCTCCACACTTTTCTTGTTACAGAAAGAAGCTTTCCTCTGAAGAATTTCTCAGGAAGACACAGCATGAACTGTGTATTGTTGCCAAGGATGTGAAATATGCAGACGTAAAGCTATTCTAGCGCCGGTGACCGAGTCGGGGTTTCCGTGCGGCCGTCTGGGAGCAGATCATAGCCTGCAGAGCGGCATGCGCTGGAGGGACGCCCTGAAACCCACGCTCATCAGTAAGCAAGTTATCTCTCGGTGACAAGTACCTGTGACCCAAGGGGGTTAAGGCAGGGGGTCCCCAGCTAAGTCTGAGCGTCTATTTACAGACCGCCTCTCTGGGGCGGATTTCAGCTGCCAGGCTAAAATGGCCCTGTTTGTGGGGTGCCTGGGTGGCACGGTCGGTTAAGCATCCAATTCTTGATTTCACCTGAGGTCATGATCTCAAGGTCGTGAGGCTGAGCCCCACGTCAGGCTCCATGCTCAGTGAGGCGTCTGCTGGAGGTTCTCTCCCTCTGCCCCTCCACTCCCCGTTGTGTGCACGTTCTCTCAAATAAATAAAATCTTTAAAATGGCCCTGTTTGCAAAACTACTCCCCCCAATTTCTTTTTTTTTTTAAATGAGTGAACTACCGTTTACCAAACGCTCTTTAGGAAAGGGTCAGGGCCAGAGCGGCGGGCCTTTCCAGAGATGGTGTCCCAGGGAAGCAGCAGCTGAGGTCTGGGTCTAGTGCACAGGCATGCACAGGCTCTGCCCCTCGTCCAGGCAGCCTAGTGCACACCACAGCTCTGAGGCGCCATTCAGCACAGGACTGTGGCAGGGCAGGTATGCGGAATCATGCCCATTTTACAGATTAAGACACTCAGGTGCACAGAGCTCGGCCACCAATGTCAGCGAACAGCAGGGCTGAAATGAGGTGTCTGAAGTCTGCGATACACCAAGCCACTGGAACGCTGAGGTCTCACTTTGCTCATTTTTAAATCAAGGAAAACTGCTCACTCTGAGTTCAAAGAAGGAAATCTGGCGTAAGAGCTGAGTGCAATGCTTGTAGAGTCTCACCCAATTTACAGCATTAAAACCCAGAATGAGCACCACTTACACAAGGCCATGGGTGAGCTTGTAACAACCAGCTAACACAGCTGATGCTGCATAAATTGTGTATAGAAAAGCACTATCAATTGTCATATAAATAAAGTATAAAAAGCCAACGTGCTGTTGTCTTTCATGAGTTGTGGGATGCATCTCTAGGAATGAATTAAAGTGGAAAACTTTTCATTGGACCACCCGGATAATGTGCCCCCGTGACAGGGATCATTTAGAATCCACACGCCTGGGAACAGAACACAGAGGGACGCGATCATCCGCAAATCCGGGAAGAGGGTGCCGCAGGTACTGACCTGTCCTAATTCTTCATTTAAATCCGAGGTGTTGACCAGAGGCCCTTCCCCTGTGTCCTCGTCAAACATTTCTTCATCCCAGGTGATGAAATACGAGCCCAGGAACTTCTGCATCTCCACCGTGACGTACATGGACACGGGAATGATGTAGTTGAAAAGGACCATGAAGGCCAGGAAGTCCGTGAACGCCCTGAGGAACTGAGAGAGCACTGCGTGATTTCCTGCACCCCCTCGCCAGCATCTCAGAGTTCTGCTCGGATCGCACTGGTGCTATTTATAAATACAGGCACTCTCTCAAGACAGGACACTGTGCTGGGTTCTAGAGGCGTTTGTGCTGCACCCCTCCTGAATTTACTGTGGGAGCCAATCCCTTTCCAGACCGTACACTCAAATACCCAAATAAGACAGCAGCAACCAGGGTAAGGGGGCAATGGATACACTTTCCAAATCTCTATTACAAAGATGTCGTCAGTCAAAACTTCACATTCTCCTGCCATGTTTTCGTAACAATGGCCCACAGGGTGTTTCTGATCACTGCAAAGGGGGGCATGTTCCGTACCAGGTTCCTCTGTCTTTCTGACTCAGTTTTCTGATTATACCACGGCTCGTCTCGGAACGGTTCGCTCTGCCACACATACTTGAGGATGGTGTTTATCAGCGCTTTACTGATCAGAATGCAGAGGTACACAATGAGGAACACGTTCATGGATCTAAAACACAAGACAGCAACAATACTTAGTGATTGCTTGCTGAAGAACCTTTCTCACCCGCCAAGACAAACGTACCGTGAAGACACAGAGCAACATGTTTTAAAGGAGCCCCCCACCATCTGCTGGCACAGTAAGAATGAGAACAGAAGCTCGCATGTATCTGAGTTCCTCCCGTGACCACAGGCGTGTGCTTCTAGGGGCCACAGGGAAAGTTTTGAAAACTGGAGAGCGGTGCACGCAGCCACGCTGCTGACCACATGGTATGGGAGTCCATGACTAAGGACATCCAGAAGTCAAGTCTTCTGCCATGAAGTGTCAGCCAGGGAGTGCCAAATTTAGAGATTACCACCAGGGAAGGAGGGAGGGAGATGCCCTCTGAACTGGAAAAATACTGAATCCCTGGCCAATGTCTTAGTGGATCTTGTGAAGAAGGCTTCATTTTCCAGTATCTATTTCTGAAACCTATTCATCAGTGTAGACATCTAGAAACAAATCATTCTTGCGTATTGAGAACCAAATCTCCATTTTCACATCTGGTACAGCCGTCAATGGACAGAGACCCATGATCACGCTGAGACCAACTTGCTGAGAGCAGGCAGAAGTGACCCTCACAGTCTTCCCAAAGATCCCCAAGTCCTGCATAGCTCTGTATTAAGTAATTTACAACCACTTCAAGTCAGGGATACACATGAACAAAAGGCAAAGAAGACAAAATTCTGGGCCATGTTTTCTCACAAGTTCAACTCTATACTTGGTTTATCATCGTAAGGATTTTACCATTGCATGAAAATAACACTGTTTTCTCTGTTCATGCTTTCCTCAGGAAACAACCCAAAGCTAAAAGTGACCCAATTTTGACGTTTTCCTGAATCGGCGAGAGGAGCTGCCAGGACTTTGGCCATCCACACGAGGGAGCCTGCAGACGTGGGCCGAAGGTGTGTGGTCACTTGTGTCCCCGCAGAACAAGACTATCTAACACCCAGTGTGACCAGCTCCCTAGAGACCACAACGGAATTACTAATGGAGCCAGAAGGAAAATGCTTTCACGTCTATAGGGGCTCATGATGGTTTTAGGTCATGGAGCTTTACGCACTTCCAAGGGGTCCCGAGACTCACTTTTCTACAGCAGATCGTTTCTGGGATTTCGACTGATAATTTAATGCCATCTTGGTTTCCATGCCCGTGTAAATAGCAACACCTGTAAAGCAGGAAAGTCAACGTTAGAACAATAACACAGGCGGATCTCGCCTTCACATAGGAGGTCACACACAGCAACAGTAAAACTCAATTGTGGACAAAACAAATCATATTTTAAATTTCACTGGGCAAACTAGATGTTCATAAAAAGAGTCCCACAACAGGACTCTTCAGACTAAAGAAATACTTTTTTTTTCCTGCATAGAGATTAATCTCTTTTTCTTGAAGATTAGATTTTACTATATTGGGTTTTCTGAAACACGGCACACATGCATATTTTTAAGTTGTCTCAATTAAAAGACAGAAATAACCCATAGAGACGGGAGATACTACCAGAGAAATGCAGCCTTTAAAAGAAATCTCCTGCAGAACTATGTTGTGTGAGTTCTCTCATGGACATAAATTTATGTTTCTGAGTCAGAAACTACAGACACTCAATATGCAAGCAACCCTCAAACACCACTGCCTCGTGGGTGGTGGCGATCCACCAGGACAGGTTTTCTTAGGCTGATGACCCCTGCCACAGAGCCCAACTCGGAGCACGGCGAGATGCGTTCACAGCAGCACTACAGACTTTAACTGCTCAATGCACCCTTAATTTTAGAAGCTGTTAGTAATGATTCACTAACTGAGACACTAACCAAAGATCTTCTCGGTGTTCTTCAGCGTGGCTCCTCTGAGAAGCAAGTTCTCCGACCCCAGGGGCCTGCAAAGATAGGAGGAGCAGAGTAGGGCAAGGGGGCAGACAGAAGGAGGTGCTCCAGGATGGGAAACCGAGGCCTGTGCCTAACAGACTTGGTTTCAAGAGGAAATCATTTAAACGTGGAGTAGCCGTGTTTCAGAAACACCGTGAACGTGCTGATGGAGCTTGGTCATGACTCATGAAGCGCACAAACCATTTCCACGAAACACACAATTTCAAGAGGGGCCCCAGGGTCTTACATTTATTACCATCTATCTCCTACCGAGATTATTTCTACTTCTAGGCAACCGTTTTCCTTGACCCACAAGGTAACACCAGGACATCGACAATGTGGAGACCGCTTAAGTGGAAAGAAAAATGATTTCTCCAACACAGGTGAGGCAGGGGTTACAGAAAAGGTCAGCTCCAAATCCTACTCCAAGTCAACTTCCTACCCTGTCCATCTCGATTACCTCGACAGCAAAGACCCACCAGACCTGGAAACTATGTCCAGACAACACACCCACAGGCCTGGGAACGCAGAGAACCAGTGCTGGATGAGAGCGGACCACATGCGTCTGGCACCAGCTGGTTCCGGGGCGCTGCCACCTTGTGGGTGCGGGTCCTTGTCACAATCTGCGGGTGTGACGGATCCCAGACTGCTATCTACACGGTCCCTAGAGGAGACACATCCCCTTAAATCTAGACAGAATCTAGAACCAGTGTCCCAGTGATGATCTCGAGTAGATGATACACTCCAGTCAAATGGCCTCAAGTCAGAAACGGCTCAGCTTCACGGCAGAACCTCATCCATAAAGGCTGAAGGGCATTTCTCAGGGGGTAGTGGCTGTCAGATGGGTTCCTAATACTGCTTCCCATGAGCGCCATCAGCTTGTTGGCACCAACAGCTATACTCACAAGAGAAACCAGAGAAGACAGCAGGACCTGGACCTTTCCTAAAGCAGAATTCTACTTCCCAAACCCAACGGAGCAGCAGCAAAGATTACAAACAGAATTTGTAATCTGACAGCACGGATGACAACAGCACCGCTGTCCTCACCTCACCACAGGGTCGTTCCGATCGTTGTAGACGTTGATGCGGCCGACGAACCTGGCAACAAGAAGTCAGATCAGTGCCGCGCAGCTGGGGCGGGAGGCGGGCCGGCCACCCGCCGTCCGCACCTGTCTCCAGCTTCCAGGGTGGGAGCCCGCTCCACTCCAGGGCTGCGTTCCTGCTCAAAAGCTCATCGGCTTCCTCCCCATTTCTTCTTTTACTTTCTGTCCTTATTAGCCCATGACTCCAAGGATTTTCCTTAAAACTAATTCCTCAAATTACAGAAAATCACTTTTTCTTCAATAAACTTAGTTCCGTTAAGCCAGTCCAAATATTTGCACAAATAGCTACAGATTTTAATGTTGCTGAACTGTGAGAATATTAAGTGAACTGTTTTATTTCTGACTTGGTCTTAATTTTTAAGCAGCGATGTACATGCTTTCCAGATGGGCGGGGTGGAGAGCAGAATAGCAGCTGGGGTGGGGGGAGCGGTGACGCCAGGGAATGCCGCCCGGACTTACTTGTACAGGTCGGGCTGGGGCTGCTCACACTCAATCGTGGCGTGTAAGCCGTCTATATCTTCTTCCGTATGAAACCCCTTCGTGTCCTGAACGGCATAGTGGGTCTGTGGATCGACAAGAACGGTGAATTCACAACCCAACAAGGGATGTTGTGCCTGTACCAGCGCCTGCTGTGCCTGTAACTAAGCCCGAGTCCGGAGCCTCGGAGCCGTGTCAGAGAGAACTCTGAACACGGAAGTCATGTACCAGTAAACGCAGACTAGGGTGTGGGGATGTTAACAAGTGACAGAAGCACAAGGCGCCACTGGCACGCTAGCCCACTGCCCTCAAGCCGTGGGAGAGCTTCTTCAAAACGGGACATCTCCATCTGTCCCTGTGATGGCTACCCATCAGGAAACAAATCTAGGAATCAATGTTCCTCTTACTCATATGCTGCCTACTGTGTGCACAGGGCTGTCCCTGGCATCGCAAACTGCTCGGGCCTGGCGCTCTCCCCGCACGGCCACGCGCTCGGCATCCACCGACGGCCCCGCAAACCTGAGCGCGCCTCAGACCCTGGCAGGCTCACGGGACACCGACTGCCCGGCCGGCCCCTGGTTTCCGATGCAGTGTGTATGGGGGGCCCGAGAACAGCATTTCTAACATGACCCAGGCAGTGCAGATGCACTGGCCCGGACGGCATCACCAACGGGAACAGGTGGGCTGGGAGCCCGAGCGTGAGAGCCTGTGGAGACAGCGCATCTCTGAATGTCCACTCATCTTCCCGGCAATCAGGTGCTGGGCGGGAAAGGGCGGCACAGGTCAAAACAGGCGGGAGATACATCACAGCAGCAGCGGCTTTTAGAACTCGCTAGGGCCCCTACTGCGCACCTGGGACATCGGGAATTTTTCTAAGTACATCCTACAAGAGCCCCTGACAGGTCTGTCTGAAAACTGCAAAGGTTAAAAATGCCTGCCCAAGGTCACACGGGCCGTGACTGTGACCAGTGCGGGAGCCCCAGTGTCTTTTACAGGAAGAGCTCAGTAACTCCAGCGCCCAGGCCCTGGTCAAATGTGCAGATATGAAGTCAGAGAGCACACAGGACACTGAGCACAACCGCACGAAAGGTGCTAGCCATGCTGGGGCAGCTCTCCTGCAGGATGGGCACGAGGGGCCACCTGGTGCCAACAGCCACAGTCCACGTGGCTCACCGGGTGTCAGGGACACGGGAACGTGATCCCCACACTCAGACACCTGACACCACAGTCACCTGGCTCTCCCGGGGGCTTCCACCCCCCACAAACACCATCGATTGTGCCAGAATGTTAGCCCTCTTGGGATGGATGCCTACATAGGAAAGGTGCCCCAAAAGTCCCACAGGGTTTATACAATGATATGAATTATCCATAAAAGAAAGAAAATATCTCTTTCCCACCATAGAAATCCCACCATTAATTGCCACTGACCAATGCCTCAGACATGGTTGGGTCCACTGAGCCATGCTCACTAATTTCTTAAACTCCTTGGAGGCTCCCATTGTTTTAAAACTAATGAAAGCTTTAAATAGTGATATGTTCTATTCTTTTGCGATTGTTAAAGTTTTGTAGCACCAACTGGCAGTACAGTATTCCATTCTGAGTATAAGAAATTACTTCTAAGTTCAGAAAATCCTTATAAGATATTTGAACAAAAGGACACTCATTAAAGTGATAGTCCTCAAAAATCTAGACTCTCGTGTGACTTTTCACGTGTGACTTTTCACATAATTCCATCTAGTGAAGACACTAATTTTGACCAGTAAAATAAAAAATTTCCAAATTCCCACAATCGACTCCTTGCATCTGATCCCTCCACTCCGTGACACAGCTAAGAACATGAAGTCACTTCTGTTAACCTCAGCGGTTGGTGGCTATGGACCCTGAGGGGGGCCAGGCAACGGTGGGATGTGGGGAGAAGCAAGGTGAGGAGCCGTGTGGCCGGCCCTGCTCCCCCAGTTTCTCCGTAACCCCTGGGAACACTGGGGTTGCAACCACGGTGCTGCAGTGGCCGGCCACACAGCGTGGCTGGTGCAGGGCCCCAAATGAAAGGCACGGTACTTTGTGACTGGACTCTCCATCTAAACTGGCGGTGGTCACGTGGCAGGTCCCGTCCCCGCGGCTGCTGGAGAGGAAGATCAAGTCACAGGGGAAGGTCTCGTCCTCCTTGACCATGACGATGTCCCCGACCTGCAGGACAGACAGACAGCCTCGGTGTGGCGGCCCCTGTGGTGCGGGGGCCTCAGTGTCTGCAGGCAGAGGTATGGATGGGGAGGCACTCTAGGGAAGGACTGTGTGCCGGGATTCTGCCCAAACCGTGGAAAGACCAGGTGAGGGTCTCGATGGACCAACTTTAGACCCACGAAGCATCGAAGCGTATTATGAAGGAATATTCTGCACCGAAAACATAGACAAACTCCCATAACCCGATTGTCCTTGACTGAGCCCAAGCCGGACAAGCTCAAGTATTTGTTAATGAGTCTGAGCGGGAATTATTCCTGCAGGAAGGTGTCGATCTAGAAAATCCCTTCAACTGGCGGGTGTGAACAGCTGTGACGTGGGGGGGGCAGGGGTTCCTGATGCACAGGAGGGGATGAGACTCAGAGGAATGGGCTGAATGGAGGACCAGTCCCCAAATGCAGCCTACGTGATTCCATTTACGCCGTGACGGTCTTGAGATAACGTGATCTTAGCGACGGACCACTGGAGACTCTTCTTGAATGGCCTCGGGCACCTCTGCCGGCCTGGCCCTGTCTCACACTGTCCGTGCAGAGCCCTCTCGGCTCCAACTGGCCAGCTACAGAACAGACATTTCCCATAGGAGATCAAGGCATTAAAAATGCAATTTTCTCCTGGTTGATGCTATTTAGGTCTGTTTGTTAAAAGTATAGAAGGCTTTGCCAAGGAAATACGGTCATTAAGGGGAAGTACATGAAGGGCCTAGGGTCTGAATTAGTCTGTTAATATGTGCACAGGGCCCCACCAGCATTCCATTCCAGACCCCGTGACGGCCAAGAAATCATCACCAGTCCAGGTAAAGTGAGGGGAGCTCAGTCAGAAGTCCTAAAACACCTGGTCAGGAAAACTTATAAAATAAAGAAGATGCAGGAGCACCTGGCTGGCTCAGTTGGTAGAGCATGAGACCCTTGATCTCAGGGTTGTGAGTTCAAGTCCCGTGTCGGGCACAGAGATTACTTTAAAAAAAAACTTGAAAAAAAACAAAAACAAAAACAAAGAAAATATTGCTTAAAATCGTAAAAATACATACAATAGTGTGTATGATACATGTTGGAATAGGTTCACAAAGATGGCCACGTGCTGGTGACATGTGAGCAGGCCTTCGGGTGGGTTTTGGTTGGGTGGGGTAGGGGGGCTGGGGTGGAGAGGGAGGGGAAGTGCGGGTAGGGAGAGGGGATGGGCACGGGGTGGGGGATGGGCACGGGGTGGGGGTGGGGAGGGGTGGGGTGGGGGATGGGCACGGGGTGGGGGGATCAGGGGCTTCCGAGGTGATACGCAGCCGGGCATCAGGAGGCAGGAGGGCCCAGCCGGGCTCCATCCCTGGGCTCACAGCTGACACTCCCCAGGAACAAGCCTTCACGTGCACACCACCAGCTGGTGCACACGCAGATGCTTCCCACTGGCTAGTGCAGG